TTAGATGCACCAAAAAGTGCAACACCTGCAGCCAGCACTGGTCAACAGAAAGGACCCAACTCTTCTCCACGACAATGCCTGACTGCATGTTGCATAGTTAATGCTTTAAAAGTTGAGTGAATTGGGCTACTCAGTTTTGCCTCATCCACCATATTCATCTGACTTATCGCCAACTAACTACCACTTCTTCAAGCATCTGACAACTTTTTGCAGGGAAGAATGTTTCCACAACCAGCAGGATGCAGAAAATGCTTTCCAAGAATTTGTGGACTCCCAAAGCATGCATTTTTATGCAACAGGAATAAACAAATGTATTTTTCATTGGCAAAAATGTGTTGACTGTAATGGTTCCTACTTTGATTAATAAAGGTGTGTTTGAGCCTAGTTATAGTGATTTAAAATTCTCGGTCCAAAACCGCAATTACTTTCACACCAACCTAATATCTGTCTATCTATCTATCTATCTATTTTTTCAGACAGGCTCTGACTCTGTCTCAAAGTAACCTCACTGCAACCTTAAACTCCTGGGCTCAGGTGATGAGAGATTCATCAATCTCCTGCCTCAGGCTCCCAAGTAGTTGGGACTATAGGTGTATGCTACCAAACCTGGCTAATTTTTTCTATTTTTACTAGAGTTAGGGTCTCACTCTTGCTCAGGTGAGCTCTTGACCTCTGGCCATACTCCTGCCCTGGCCTCCTAGAGTGCTAGGATTATAGGTGTGAGCCACCATTCTGGCCAGACATATATTTTAGAGCAATAACTTTGACAGATCAGCGCAGAATAAAAGACTGATACTAAGAAGACCAATTGTGAGGCTATTGCAAATAATTCAGGTAAGAAATACTGAAGGTCCACACAAAGGCATGACCTATTTTCTACCTAAGTGGTCTATCTGTGAGAAACAAGAAAGATAAAATAAAATCTGGAAATGCAGAACCATATTTGGTATGTAAAAAACAAAAAAATAACCCCAACTATAATAAAAAGGCAATAAGGGATCCTTGTGGTAATACAACTGTATCTTGACTGTGGTTATAGATATACAAACCCATACATGATAAATTGTATAAAACCAAATACACAAGCACACACAGATGGTTCTAAGTGAAACTGGGGAAATCAAATAAGATTATGGATTTTTGTTGCCAGTTTAATAAACTGGATAAAGTTTACACAGATCTCTTTGTATTATTTCATATAATTCCATGTGACTCTATAATTATTACAAAAAAATTTCAGTTAAATGATAGCAAAATAAAGATATTTTTAAACTAAAAAAAACCCCATTATTCATTTTTGGATGTAAAGGGAGAAATTTAAGACATCTTGTTCTTAATTCTCCATTGGAATCTGATTAATTTTACATTGCATTTATAAATTAATTGGGAAAAATGGGAAAAAAACCAATAGATCTAAAACTAAGATGGTTATTTAAATGTATCTTGTGTAGTTTCTAGATAATAATTATTATTGGTTCTCTTAGATGTTTTACCTATAGATTAATTGAGAGGGGAGTAAATAAATATTTATTGTATACGTAAAATGCAAGTCATTGCTCTGGGGCCTTACATACATTTCTCTATTTCCTGATAATAAAGAGACAGGTTTTATTAGAATTACTAATACATTTTTCAAATAGGAAGCCGAAGGGTTGGAATGGGTAAGTACTTTTTCAAGGTCACTGAGTGTTTTGGGGAACAGCTTATATGCCTATCTGATTTTAAAGCCTGTGCTTTTCTCTGTTACTTAGGGACTGAAATACAGACATAAGCACGTTTAAGATACCATCTCTGTCACTGACTTGTTTTGTTGATCTCTACAGTGTCCGTAATGAAGTATTTAGAAATGTTGAATATAATACTTTTCTGGTATCGGTGTGGATTATTTCAGTTCAGAAAAACATGGTTTAAAATTTGTGACTAGATAGCTTTTCATAAAATGTTTCACAAAACAGTGCCAGGTACTATCAGAATACTTCACAGGAATTCCTTCAACCTTAAATAAAACAAAAGCAAAACCAACACCTTAGGAAGAGGTTGATAATGGTTAATTTTATTGAGTGTTTACTATTGTTGGGCACCACCTTAAGCAACTTACATGTGTTATTTAAAATTTCACAACAACTGTATGAGGAATGTACATTTATTGTGCATTTTACAGATGTGGAAACTGAAACTTGGGGTAGTTAAGTGACTTATCCAAAGTTACATAGTTATTAAGTGTTAGAATAGGGACAAAACTTTAGCTGTATGACTCCAATGCCATATTTCTAAGCCTGTAGGCTACAATGGTATAAAAATCTACAAAATAAAAATCTAGTACTAATGGGGGATGAAGAAAAAAGGAGCATCAATTTTGGAATATGTGTTACCCGAGTGAGCACAAAAAAAGGAGCTTCAACGGAAAGTTTGGCATGGGCCAAGAACAGTGACCAGGGCCACCACTTATTATAATTAAATTAGATGAGTTAATTACATTGTTGATTTTTGGGGGCATAAGAGAGGTCAATATGAAAAGCTCAAAGGTATTTTCAGGTCAGTTGCCTTCTACTCATTTTTTTATTTTATTTTCTTTATAGCTTTTCACTTATCCATACTGGAAATTGTTTCCTTACTTGTTTATTACCATTTGTTTCACCTCAATAGAATATAAGTTTAATAAAATCAAGAACCTTGTCTTTCTTGTTCAATGCTATATTTCCAGTATTTCAAGTCATGCCTGAATATAAATATTTGTTGAATGAATGCATAATCATTTATGATTAGCTTTTCCTAGACTTCAATGTCAAAGATTTAGATTTACAAACCGTGGTTCAAAAGACCATATTACAAAGGCATGCATTATTAGCAATTTTTCATTGTTTAGTTTCTCAGATTGGCTAGGATACACTGAAAGGAGAAGAACAAGCTGGAGAAAAGGGGAAAAGAGCATATAAACTAGTAACAAGCCCTTAATTATGGTAGTGGGAGATTGATTGAACCTAAGAAATTCAGAAACTTATGGCCATGAACTGCCTGAAATTGATGAGGCTCTCTAAGTAAGATAAAAACCATTATGAAGGCTATCTCAATTTTATCTCAGTTCTACTACCATAAAGGTTTATGGAAAGGAGGTGATAGTTATTTAGCTTGTTTTTAATATGCTAATTACCTTGCATGGTGCATAGCTTTGATTATAATGCAACACTCTTGAAGAGGCAGTGCCAAGTTTATGTACATATTGAGCACTTGTCTGCCTTGTTTGTGTACAGCAGGTTCTTCCTGAAGAGCATTATTTAATTTATTTATTTTACTATTTATTGTATACACATAGTATATATAAAATAAATATATATGTACAGTATATATAAAATAGATATATATGTATTTTCACTATGTTGCCTGGGCTGGACTTGAACTTCTGGGCTCAAGCGTCCACCCATCTCTGCCTCCCCAGTAGCTGGAACTACAGGCACAAGCCACCCCTCCACCAGCCATTATTGATGCTATTATAATCCTTGTTAGCATTACATCGTTGTTGAGTAGGGCACATAAAAAGAAAGAAGGTTGAGAAAAAAAAACAATCACATATGAAAAACCAAAATGAATGAGTAACTGAGATGTCTTTAGTGTCTAGTTGGAAAGGCAATTAATTTCAATCAGGTTGGGGAGTGCCTAGGAAAAAACCGGAATCCTCTAAAGTGGAAGAGACAGTTGCTAAACTTGAGGATTACAATAGAGGACTTCAGGCAGTTTGCAGTTTCAAGAAATACAACATTTAGAGAAGAGGTTGTCAAACTTTTTGGTCTCGGGACCCCTGTATTCTCTTAAAAATTGAGGACTCCCAAGAACTTTTATGTGCGTTACAGATACTTATATTTATCATATTAGAAATTAAAACAGAATTTTTGAGTAGTTACTACTTTATTTAAAAACAATAAAGCAGTCAAATGTTTACATAAAATAGCTTCTTAAATGAAAAATAACTAATTCCTTTGTGCCAATCGAGTTTTTGCAAATCTCTTTTAACGTCTGGTTTAATAGCAGATGACTGGATTCTCTTATCTGCTTCTATTTTCAGTCTGTTTCCTTATCACATGTCATGTAGCCTCCGGAAAACTCTGCTGTACACTTGTGAGAGAATGAGAATTCAAAAAGCAAAGTCTTTGTATTATAATATTATGAAAATAGTTTTGACTTTCTCCTTGAAAGGGTCTGGGGACCCTGGGACCACATTTTGAGGACGACTGTTTTAAGAGTTAATGTTAGTCAATTCAGCATCAATTGAAAAGTAGCCATGAGTTTTCGCAAGCCTGAAGATTTAACAGGATTTACTTTTTCAGAAAGATGAAACAATGGACACAGCGTGTCCTCATTATAAAGCATCCACAGACTGCAGAAGCATGCTCTTTTCATCAAAAAGCTAAAGCAGAAATGAGGGACTGCACATCAGGTAAAAGGACGGAGGGTAGGGATGAGAAGCATTCCCGAAAGGTGTGGAGACCCGTGACTTAGGAGAAGCAGAACCTGCAGCAGACACTGCGAGGTGGTCACGAGGAAAGCACTGTTGTTCTTAGGCGGGGAGGGAAAATGGTTACCGGGGGAGTTGCCGGAATGAGGCCCCAGCACGGATGGGAACTAAAGAACGCTCGACGCGTAGGACGCGGCGAACCCGGGACCGGGCGACCGGCCCCCGCCCTCGGCTCCGCCCGCGCAACGCCGACGGGGCGAGGCGGGCCTGCAGCGAGGCCCGCGGGTCAGGCCTTTCTCCACAACTGATGGGGTTGAGATTGCCTTTCCAGCGCAGCCGGGAGAAAAGAGATGGCTGCGTGCGTAGTAGGGGGAGGAAGATAGACACTGGCGGGAACCGGAGGAGCCGAGGCGCAGCACCGGGGTAGCCGGGAGGGAGAAGCCCTAGGTAAGGGTTTGGAGGTCGCCTGGGAAGAAGGACGGTTCTGTTGCTACGCAACGCAGCCTGGGCCCGCCTCCCGCTCGCGTTGCTAGGAGACGACGAGGCCAGGGGGAGGGCGGCGGAGCGGGCCCTACGTGCTGACGCTAATTGTATATGAGCGCGAGCGGCGGGCTCTCGGGTCTTTTTTAGCGCCATCTGCTCGCGGCGCCGCCTCCTTCTCCTCCCGCTGCCGCTGCTGCCCTGAGTCACTGCCTGCGCAGCTCCGGCCGCCTGGCTCCCCGTACTATCCGCCGGTAACGGATGGGGGCCTGGAAGGGAAGGGGGAACGAGGAGTTGGCCTGGCTGCCGACGCGAGTCGGAAGGACAGAGGGACGGAGGGATGGAGGGACCGGGAACCCTGAGGCGGGGCCGCTGGTCGCCCGGGGCCTCCTGGGTCGTCCTGTGAGGCCGTCGCCGTCCGCGGAGTCCCGATCTCACGGCCTGAGAGGGGCCCTGGGGTCGGCCAGCGCTTGTTTCCCGACGGCTGAGGCGCCGCGGTGGCCGGCGCGGCCTCAAGGGCCTGAGGTTACCTAAGCCCCACCGTCTTCTCCGGGCGGACGGGAGGGAGCGAGGCCGCGGCGACGCCCGGGTCCTCGGGGAGTCGGTGGCCGCTTATTGAGGGGCCATCAGGCGCCGGGAGCGTAGGCCAGGCCCGAGTGTGGAGCCCGCCACCTCTTCGACGCCCCTGCTTCTCCCTCAAAAATAACCCCCGGAGGGAGGCCGCTGGGGGATGGAAAGAACGGCGGAGGCTGCAAATTCCGACGGGAGGGGAGGGGCTGTGGAGGGACGAGGCTCCGGCGGGGAGGGGGCGGGGGAGGCCGCGAGGCTCCGGGGCTCTCCGCCCACTGGGGGCGGCGGCCACTCTGGGAGGGGAACCCCCTCGGTGGCTTCCCTCGACACGTGGTAATGGGCTTGCGTGGCCGCCGCCTGGGCCTGGCTGGAGGACCCCTTCTTGGGGTCTGTCCTTACTTTCCTGAAAGTTTTAGAGATGCTGGCATGTGGAAAGGACTAGTGAGCTCATAAGCCTGGCCCCTGGGTTCCAAACTTTCCTGCTTCTCTTTGGTCTTAATCTTTTTATTGGTACCAGAGGGCAACATGAATGTTAGCTGGTAGATGATGGGAAAGGCTTCCACTGCTTGGATTTTAAGGAATTAACGCATGTGAAGCGTTTATGTTAGCTGTTATTAGCTAACAGGATTGTTTTATGTATCCCAAATACAGCTAGAACTTAGATAGATGTTTTGACTAGTGTTTTTTATTGGAGGGGGGGGAATGGATCCTAATTGATCTATAGACTTCTAAATGGTTTTAAGATGAACATAAAAACTTTGGCCTGACTTTAAGGGCTTTGTTCTAGACTTTCCATTGCTTACTTAAAAATTAGTTTCTTTATTGATGTTCCCAGAATAAGATACTTAAGTAGCTGTTTTCATTTTAAGGTGAGTGGGGATGGGATGGAAGAAAGAAGTATGGGGTTGAATGAGGTGTTAATATAAACTTAGCCGAGTTTGTAGCCTGCTGCCTTGTCAATGCTACTTACTCAAAAATCTCTGGAACAGCAGTCAGGGGAGGCTGGGACAGAATTCTGTCTGGGAGGACTAGGCATGCATAGCACAAAAATAATGAACCAGGAACAGGATGTCTTCAAGGTAGACTATCACTGGTCTGATCAGTTCTGAAATGACGACACCTTAAAATCCACAGCTTACACACACTGCGTGCCTGGTCTGGAGAGCTATAAATTAAAAATTACCATTCTTGAAAATAGGTGGATTCAAAACATCCTTTGAAACTGGTATCTGGGTCCTATTGTCAGCTTAAATTCTTTCGTTCTTATTTAGGAAGTAATACACATTCCCTTTGGCTAAGAGAAAAACCATCCATAATGGTGTAGCTTACTTAAAACTGAAGGGAGGTAAATGAGGTTTACAGTGATCTTCAGGGACTCTTGTGCCTCAAGTTTGTGGGAAGTTGCCCGAGTTCAAATAATGGCCCAAACCTAAACTGTGTAGTTTAGTTTTAAGAAGACTGGTCCTTTGGAGAATATATGGAACTAAACATGGCAGGTAGACTTGGACATCTATCATTATAAGACCTTGACTTTCAGAGATGCTCTTTCCAAGCCAATATTGTTTATGTTAATTTAATAAATAGAAACTTAATAGTTTTCACCATAGCATCTTAAAATCTTTGTAAATTTTATCTGCTCAAAGTACCTATTTTTATATTAGGGCCATTAATTGACAGGATTTTTTAGCTAATACTAAATGTGACAAATGACTGCTCTTGTTCTTTAATGAGATTTCTGGAAAAATACCTGTACCAGAACTAACTCCAAAATGCTGTTCCTCATTTTATTGTTCAGCTTGCCTCTATTGGCTCCAGTGACTGATTTGATTCTAAACTCCCCAAAATATGTTCAAAACAGAGGGTTTTTTTTAATAGAAGGGGCTTAAAGAGACAGAATCAGTTTGACTTCAAGGTCTGAAGATGTCAAAATAAAATACAGTACTTTGCTTACTTTGTTAATTTTTTGCTTGGTTACAACTTTGGAATATTATGAAGGGATTAGAGATAATGAAACCTAAGTGAATACTAATGATCAATTTATTCAGAACCTCAAGTTTAATCAAACCTGTAATTGTGTTCTTAGTTTATTCTTTGAGTAAATGTCTTAACACCTATTTATATCGTGCAAAACAGGCACATTGGTTACCTATATGTAAAATGTTATGATGAGTGCTATGAAGAAAAAAGGTACAGGGTAAAGGGAAAGGGGAGCATAGTAGTAGGTAAAGAATGTTATAAATTATAACTGGGAGCTGGTTTTAATTATATTAAATTCCATTTCAAACTAGTTTCATTTGAATAAGTTCCTTCCTTGTTGAGCAGAGTAGGGATTAGAAGGTGAGAGCTGATGCTTTGTACCTATCCTTGTAAGTTGTTTAGCATATTGAAAGTGAACCATTAGAGCACATTACTGGGCTTGCCATAGAAAGTGGCTTCTATACTTCGGGTTACCAACTCTGCTTTTTACTGCTACATATTTGGATACATTTTTACTCTTTCAGAATTTTTGTACATTTTGAATTTTATTGAGAGAAGGGGGCTATAATTTTGAAGAGCTTTTGAATTATTTTCTAAAGAGTGTACAAAAGAGCACAACAGCAATACATAAGTCAACAGTTAATGAGTGATTATTCAGGCATTATTTTAAATTCTTCTATGTGTATTATTTAATGCTCTCAGAGGTGGGTAATGTCAACATTTTAACAAGGGAACAGGTATAGTGGTTATCCAGGCTTACATAACTGAGCAGTGATAAACTTATGAGGTAATTTTTGTACTGGTTTCTAAAGGATGTTCTGGTGACTTAAACTGCTACAAGTGAACATGTGTGTTAGTCCATTTTCTGTTGCTTATAACAATACCCGAAACTGGGTAACTTATAAAGGAATTTCTTAAGTTCTGGAGGCTGAAAAGTCCAAGGCCCTTGTTGCTGGGGACTAGGGTGTCACATGAGGAGGCAGAGCCCTTATGATACAATCACCTTAAAGGCCCCACCTGCAAATACTGTCACATTGGGGATTAAATTTCAACATGAGTTTAGGAGGGGACAAATACTCAAACTATAGCAGCATCAAATTCAAAAGCACTGTATCTTGGATTCCACTGTGCTCCAGGGAAAAGCTACAACACTTAACAGTCATGAAGTCTTCCAACATGGAATTTGTTTCCATATACAGTGTGTGGGTTAATGGTTGGGGATATTTTCTGAGACATGGCATCATTAGGCGATTGATTTTGTTGTGCAAACATCACAGACCGAGTGTACTTACACAAACCTAGATAGTTTAGCCTTCTATTTACCTAGGTATGTACCTAGGCTATATGGTGTAGCCTATTGTACCCTGAGGATATAGCACTTTGGGGTCCTGCATAATTTGGGAGTGTTGCTGTAAAGATTCCTCACCTTGGACTGGCCAGGGATTTTGATTTTACTACAAGATGGTTAAAAACAAAGTTTATGTTTGCTGGTAATTGGCAGTTGCCCTCAGGGCAGAACTGCCTGCCTTCTGTTTCCTGTTTTGCCTTTAATTTTGGACTAGTAGTAATTCCTTACTATCTTGTTAGCATTTCAATGCTTTTAAGATTTTAACAAATATTTCACTCTGTACTTTTAATAATTTTCCATTGGTAGAGTTGATAGACATAATCTAGCTTGTCAGTATCAGACAAGGAATCTTTTTAATTTAACTTTTATTTTTAATTTTAGATTTACAGAAAAGTTGTAGAGATTGTTCAGCGAGTTGCCATATGTTCCTTACTCAGTTTCTCCTAATGTTGACATCTTGCATTACAATGGTATGTTTGTCAAAAATAATATTAACCATCATCCAGTTAATTATTTTGCCAGAACCTTGATCCCACATTTAAGGATAATTTAAAATGTACTATACGTAAACATAGCTTATGTTTATTGAGTACTTACTAGGTATCAAACATTGGTTAAGTTTTTTATATGGATTTATTCCTTGAATCTTAAGTGTAATCCAGTGAGGGAAAAATTTTTTTCTACTTCTTATAGATGTTGAAATGGGGTCAGAAGTTTTTTACCTGAGTTAGATTGTTATAAAGCTGATGTCAACCCAAGTAATGTGACTATAAAATTGGGCCTAGTGTACAACCAGGAAGTCCAATTTGGCCAAAATGGGCAGGTTGTAGTAGGCATCACTGGGGATGCTGTACTGATCTCTCTTTGAGTCTCTTTAATAAAGACAAATAATTTCTTTTTAAGAGTTTCAACTACAGGGCTAGGTGCAGTGGCTCAAGCCTGTAATCCCAGCACTTTGGGAGGCTGACGTAGGAGGATCACTTGAGTCCAGGAGTTCAAGACCAGCCTGGGCAATATAGCAAGACCCTGTCTCTGCGAGAAAAAAATTTAGTCAGGCGAGGTGGTGCATTCCTGTATTCTCAGCTACTCCAGAGGCTGAGGCAAGAGGATTGCTTGAGCCCAGGAGTTCAAGTAAGCTATGATTGTGCCACTGCACTCTGGTCTGGGCAACAGCAAAAAAAAAGTTGAGACTCTAAATATAACACTACAGAATGGACATTGAGGATAGCAGTGTAACCATTCTTCTGTGAACATGTTAAAATGTTACAAGAACAAAAATTTGAATTCCAAGGTTTTGTATCTCTGTCACCTAGGCCAGAATGCAGTGGCCTGATCATAGCTCACTGTAACCTTGGACTTTTGGGCTCAAGCCTTAGCCTCTGGAGTAGCTGAGACTATAGATGCCCACTTCCACACCTGGCTAATTTTTAAAATTTTTTTTATAGAAATGGGATCTGTGTTGCCCAGGCTAGTCTTGAGCTCTTGGCCTCCCATTTGCTGGGCTGCCCAGCAAATTCCAAATTTTGGAATTAGCCTGGGCAACACAGATCCCATTTCTATAAAAAAAGTTTTAAAAATTAGCCAGGTATGGAAGTGGGCATCTATAGTCTCAGCTACTCCAATTGTTATGTCTTGCATAACGACATTTTTGGTCAACAGTGGACCATATATAGGATGATGGTTCTATAAGATTATAATGCCACATTTTTACTTTACCTTCTCTATATGTTTAGATACACAAATACTTAACCATTGTGTTATAATTGTCTACCGCATTCTGTAATATGCTGTGTAGGTTTGTAGCCTAGAGCAATAGGCTATACCAAGGTGTAGCCAAGGTGTAGTAGGTTATACTATCTAGGTTTGTGTAAGCACACTCTATAATGTTTGCACAGTGATGAAATTGCGTAATGAAACATTTCTCATAATGTATCCTGATTGGTAACCCATGCATAAATGTAATGCAGAATGAAAAACAAGTTCTCATTTCTCCACAGTCTCTTCTATAGGAAACTACTGTTAGATTTCTGATGTGTCTTTCCAGAAAGAGTATACATATTCAAATGTGTTTTACCATTCATCCTATACCTTGCTTTGGTGTTCTTTCTGTATCAACTTAGAGATCTACTTCATTTTTGACAACAAAGCATTCCATTGTATGCACGTTGCATAATAGTACTAAGTTCATAACACAAGCTTTGTGTACTTCCCTGAAGAAGAAAACAGTGCCATGATTGGTAAAAGCAGGTATAATTCTGTAATCATGGATCTTGTCTGGTCAGTTGAGAGATACAGACCTTAGGTCACACTAATTTTTAATTACAGACTGAGATATGTTATGATAGAAAAAAATAGAGCTTTATAGGAGTGTATATGACCAGGAAATCTTATTTAACTGGAATGTACAGGTTAGAGAAAGCATCTCTGAAGAAGTAAAACTTTGAGCTGAGAGCCAAAAGAGGTGCAAGACTTGTTCACTATGGGAACATGAAAAGCAAAGGCCTTAGATTCTTTACAAAGTTTTTTATGGTAGATTCTCATAAGTAACTAAGGCTGGAGATAGATGTATTTAAGGCTTTTGATATTCCTGGAGATTCCTTTGATATTTCTGGAGAGCCAGATTGCTCTCCAGAAATTTACCAGTTTATAGGAACACTGGCCAGATATAAGAACAATTTTCCCTGTATTAAAAGGACAGCCTTGATGATTTGACAGACAAACTGGAACCCCACTTGCATTTCTTTGATAAGTAAGATTCAATATTTTTCTTATTTTTAAATTAGTATTCATAATTATTTGCTAAGCATTTTGTAAATGCTGGCTAATTACTCAGCATCTCTAGAGAAATTCAGTATTAGTAGGAATTGTTTAAAACAGATAAAATATTACTTACAAATAGACTAGGATATATTAGGAAGAAATACTTTCTTTATAATTTGTCTAAAGAGTAGACATTCGATCAGTGATACTTCCCCCAAATATTAACATTTGACTGATAATATCAATCTTTTCTATTCTTACCTTTTGTTAGGTAATAGGGATATTAAATATGTTGATATGAGAGTAATCACATCTTGTAGGATTTTATGTGTTAAATATGTACTAAGATTGTCATTTTTTAAAAGATAATTTTAATGTGGGATTGTATTTTAACCTGTATTTTTCTCATAATCTGTAGATTATTTACGGCATTCAGCTGTTTTTCTGCCTAAATATTGACATTCACCTTAAGTTTTCCTTTTCTTTTTCTTTTTGAGACAGTCTTGTTATGTCACCTGGGCTAGAGTGCTGTGGTGTGCCATGCCATGCCATGGCATCAGCCTAGCTCATGGCAACCTCAAAACTCCTAACCTTAAACTATCCTCCCACCTCAGCCTCCCAGAGTGCTAGGATTACAGGTGTGAGTCACTGCACCTGGCCTAAGTTTTCTTTTTCTAAAAGCAGTATTCTCTAAGTTAATAACTAATCTTTTTGTGGGAAGGAATTTAGGATATGCTCTGATCAGACATAACAATACATTTATTCTGGTCTTGTAACCAAAAGTTTTGACAATGTGCCAGTTTATCTGGGAGAGGATAGTGGGATGTTGGTGGTTATCAGTGATGTGACAAAGAGGTACAGGTACATTTGAAGAGACAAGGAAGACCTACTTGCTACTGGTTGGGACCCAGAGCTTCCATACTGTCATGAAATAGTTTAAATGGCTGATATTTGATGCAGGGATTATTATTAAACCTTTTTAAAACAAATCTCCAGGGGGCATAATAAGTCCAAGTAGGCAGCAGGTTTGTTTTTTTTTAAACATGAATTTGATAAAAAATGAATATTGTTATGAAGGGGTTTATTCTTATAAACCTAAGTATCCTAAAATTTTAAGCAAAAACTGATCATTCATGATTGTTAAAAGAATTTGAATAAAAATCCTTTTTTGTGCTGTTCCTTTCCTATAATTATAGCAGATATTGGATTCTGTACCAGTGGTGCTATTATGATAGTCCTAATACAATAGATTTGAAAAACCTAGTCGTAACTTGCTTGTTTTAATCAGTAAGTACTCTTTGAAAAAATTATTTTTCATGACTTAAGAAAGTCTTTGTATGTTCTGTGAGTTTTTCTAATTTTTAACACTGATGCTGTTTTAAAGGGAATATACATCTCTACCTGGGATAGTTTTTAACATGGTATTGATTTGAAGGGTTTTGTCTCTAAAATGTTTTTACAGGTTTTAAATAAATAATAATACTTTTTTTTAACAGTGATATTTTTCTCCATAGGTATTTGGAGATCTTAACAACATGGCAGACATTGACAAGTAAGTGGCAGATAGTTGGTTCTTTTTCAGAGATTTGACATCACTTTGTACTATTTATGTAATTAAGTCTTAAACAGCTGTATAGATTTGGTATTATGAAAATGTATGATAATAACTAATACTTAGTACCTATTAATATGTTGGGTACAGTGTATCCAAAGTAAAATATATATAATTATTGTCATAAATATAGTAAATCATTTGTCAGTTTTTATTCTTAGGAAAGTGCTAAGCACAATAGTGAATCATTTTTACCATGTATGTATTTTCCGAAGATTTTACTGCTTACGTTGTAATGAATTATACGTAGTATATGTATAAGATGTGTATAAAATGTGTATGTAGAGTGTAAACAATATTAAGACACTTGTGTACAAGTTAAAAGTAGAACATTACTATCAGAAGCCCTATGTGCCCAATCTTAGTTGCATCTTCCACCTTTCCTCTCTGGAGGTGTAAGCACTATCTTGGCTTTTGTCTTTAGAATTTTACCACCTATAAATTCTCAGTATCTGAATAGCAGTCACAAACTTAAATGTGTAAAGCAGTAGTATGGCTGTTAGTAGAAGGCTGCAAGATAGAATAATAAAAAGGAAAAGAGGCTATCTGGATCATAGTCTGGCTTCAGCTTTCCTAAATCTTTATAAGGACCTATTCTGGAGAAGTCATTGAGCTAGGTCATGCATCCTGGGAAACATACTAATTAAGTCGCCATGTGACGGGGTTATTGTGTGGGTGGATGTTTTGCAGAAATACAGTCAGAATGGGATTAGCTTGCACAATATTTGTTGCTTGTAATTTTACAGTAGCCTGTGTTAAAATAAAATTGGGAGTGAGAAGGATGATATGATTATCCACAGCTGTGGTAGGCATCAGGGCATGAAGGTAGGAGGGCAGGAAACTTCAGCACAAGGTCAACACATACAAGTACTACTGTCTTCTTTAGGTTTCCATTTGTTTCTCCTCTCTTGGGTTTGCTGTTTGCTATATCCTACGTTGTTTATACTCTTGGTTCTTCAGTACCTTCTTGTAAGAGTACAAGTGAAGTAAATTATTTTGAGATGTGGAATGACTGAAAAATGACTCTGCTTGATAGTGTGGGTATAGAATTCAAAGGTGGGAATTATTTTCCTTTGGAATTTTGAAGTCATCACTCTGTTGTCACCTTGCTTCCAGTGTTGCTGTGTTGAAGTTCCAAAGTCATTATAATTCTTTATCATTTCTGTGTGATAATTTCTTTTTAATATACAGTATATCTATTTCTGAAAGCTACTCTGGCTTCAGAGTTCTGAAATTTTCTGAAATTTTTGTCTGTCTTATCTCTTATGTTAGACATTCATTGGTAGACCTTTTCAGTCAAGCAATTCAGTGGCTTTCGAAGGGAATATTCTTGACTTAATTTTTTGGATTACTTAGTTTCTGTTTTTCTAGAGCTCCCCCTGTTAGATATTCTATGTTAGATTCATCTTCTAATTTTCTTTTGTCTTATTATTAATCTTTGTTTTTTTTTTTTTTTGCTCTTCTTTCTGCCCTGAGCTGAAGAATCTTATCTTTCAACTCTTCTATTGAGCTTTAAAATTTCTGTTGTTTTAGTTTCTAAGAGCTCCTTTGTTTACTGTTCCTGTTTTTTATTGCATCCTCTTCTTGTTTCTTTGATTGTAATGTCTTTTCTCTGGATATTTCTTCCTCTCATATAGCCTATTTGCTCTTAAATTTTCTTTTCCTTGTTTGTGTTTTAGTCTCTGCAAAAGGCTTTCCTCAAGTATGAGGCAATCCTTGGTTGCCTGATCATTAAGATTGGCTTGGGTGGGAGTAAGGGTAGTTGAGGGATGTTTAATAAAAGTCTATTGGAAAATTTGAGCGTTAGAGGGGGAGGCTTATTAATTTGGGATTTTAGTTTAGAGTCATCAGAGTGGGTATTTGTTATAAGAACCCCCAGTGTCAGAATGGTGTTTTTTCCTAGGTTGGTAGATTCTCTAGTGAACAGTATCTGGCTAAAGATGTGGTTTTCAGTATTGTGGAAGCCAGACTGGAAGAAGGTAGCTAGGGAGAGGTCTCTGCATTCAGCATTGGCGTATGTACATAGCCTGTCCTGTATCTTTGATACTCTTAAATGTCTGTGGTCCCCTAGTCGAAGTTCTGAGTTTTACCCTTTCCAGAGAAGAAACTGCCATATTTTTGGTAGGGTTGGGGAAGAGATCTAAAGATTTAACTGCTTATCAGTTTTTACTTAGTCCTTCCTATTTTAGCTACATTCACACCCTAGCCCTAGTTTTATAAGTGTACCTGGTGCTACCAGTTCTTATCCTTTTATTAAAGACTCTGTATTTGGGCTAGTTCTCAACTTTCGCCACTGCTAACATAGATTTTGCTTCTTAATGAAGTTGATTATCACTTGTCTGTTTTCCAGCTTTGACAATTTTGCTGCTCTTATCTCCTTGCCCTTTAGTGTTTGCCTGTTCAAAAACTCCTTTATTATAATTTTAGTGGGGATTTTAGAAAGATTAAGATCAGGTGAGTTTATGTAATCTGCCATCTTAGCCTTGGAATCTTCATTTTGTTTTAAACTTTTTTTAAATAGAAAATCTACTCCATAGACAGTAGAGGCGAATCCTCTCTGCAGAAGAGAACTGGCCTAAACTTTTTTTTTTAAAGAATAAATTGGTTGTGACAGTTTGATTTCCCCCTCCCCTATTATTTAATTTTGGATGCTTGTTAGCCCTGGGAAGGTGGAAGAAAGAGGGGATTCTTGTTTTTTAAACTGGAGTCAGTAAATTCTCTCTCTCTAAATGGCTTGACAGTAAAAATTTTAGGCATTTTGGGTTACATAAAGTTACTGTTGTAACTACAGTCAGCCCCCCACATCTATGGATTCCTCATCCATGAGTTCCACATCTGTGAATTCAGCCAACTGCAGATTGAAAATATTTGAAAAAAAGCAATGAAAAATAATATAATAAGTACAAATTAAAAATACAGCATTATAACTATATGGCATTTACATTGTATTAGGTATTGTAAGTAATCTAGAGATGATCTGAAGTATGTGGGAGGATATACACAACTTGAATACAGATACTACACTGAGCATCCAAGGACTTTGGTATCCTCAGGATTTCCTATAACCAGTCCCCCATGGGTATTTGCTCCTGTATGAACATTAGTATTTGTCTGTACATGAAAATTAATTTTTTAAATGCTGTTTAGACACAAGCAACTAAATCTCTAGTCCAATTTTTTTTTTTTTTTTTTTGAGACAGAGTCTCACTTTGTTGCCCAGGCTAGAGTGAGTGCCGTGGCATCAGCCTAGCTCACAGCAACCTCAAACTCATGGGCTCAAGTGATCCTCCTGCCTCAACCTCCCGAGTAGCTTGGACTACAAGCATGTGCCACCATGCCCGGCTAATTTTTTTTTCTATATATATTAGTTGGCCAATATTAATTACTTTCTATTTATAGTAGAGACGGGGTCTTGCTCTTGCTCAGACTGGTTTCAAACTCTTGACCTTGAGCAATCTGCCTGCCTCGGCCTCCCAGAGTGCTGTTTTTTTTTTTTCAGCAAAATAAACAGTGTATCTAATCCAATTGTTAATGTAAAATAACTAGAGGGAATTGTGTGATGACCCTATATATTGACTTAAGTATCTTTATCTCTCCCCCTCCCCCTTTCCTGTGCAGTGGCATTTTAGCTCACTGTAACTTCAAACTCCTGGGCTCAAGTGATCCTCCTGACTCAGCTTCCTGAGTAGCTGGGATTATAAGCCTGTGCCACCATGCCTGGCTAGTGTTTATATTGTTTATGGAGATGGGGTCTCAAACTCTTGAGCTCAGCGATCCTTGCACCTCAGCCTCCAATAGTGCTAGGATTACAGGCATGAGCCACTGCATCTGACCTATCCCCCTTTTTAATGCTAGATGTAATCTCATGTTTAACAATGAGATTTTTTTTGTAATTCTTTAAGATGAGATGGGAAGGATGCTATCTTACTACTTTTTACCTTCTCTGTCAATGGTACTATCTTTCTGGCTTTCCTCTTAAGTAAGAAGTAGGCTCAGAGGTTTTCTCCTTAACTTTTCTTCCATATCTCCACTGTGAAGTACAGAAAAGTGAGGAAAGTCCAAAGATAGTACAGCCTGATATTGTTGCTCAACAGCTATCGGGGATCTGGGATCTTTCTGTTTTTCCTAACTCCTTTATCCTTAGCTGGTGACTTCCATTCTCTAGGATGACCTGGTCCATTTTTGTTGCTGGAGCACTAGCTAGCACTATATGGGAGGGAAGGAAAGATTAAGATCAAAATAGCTTCCCAGCTGTCTACCATTTTATAAGGATACTTCCTCAAAGTTCTATATTCTGCTTTTTTATCTTACTGCCAAAGCATAGGATATAGCCGGATCTAGCTAGAAGGTAGACAAGGAAATGTAGACTTTTAGTTTGGTGTATTGCTATCCCATATAAAATGAGGATGCTTTTACTAAGAGGGAAGAATGCAGTCAATGGAAATTAGGTAGAAAGCACATACTTCCTGATGTCACATTCCCCCAAAACTTACCAAACCAAATTTTTAAAGCTTGAAAATAACTTTATATTTGACCAGTTGCTTTTAATGAAGGTTTAAGTACTTGCAATTTGTACTTGTTTACATAGGAGTTAGAAGACTGAGTTACCTTTTGAATTTCCTATTTCATATCTTTGAAAAAGGCATACTAATTTAGAAAGTGAATTTAAGTTTTTCTATAACTTTTTTTGGTTATTGGTACATTTGAACCTTGGTGTGATACTATGATATTGTAGCAAAGAACAGTGTGAACTTGATCAAGATTTGGATGATGTTGAAGAAGTAGAAGAAGAAGAAACTGGTGAAGAAACAAAAATCAAAGGTATTATTTTAAATTACTTCAGGAGCCAGAGGCTGCTGGCATGTGTCTTTTAGAGGGTAGTGATAAGTACCATTTCCCTTTTTTTGGACCCTTGTTCATTGTCCGCTTTATCCACTGGTCCATACCTCCAATTTAGTTCTAGTATGTGTGTGTGTCTCTGTGTGGGAGAGAGAGTCACTACTGGTGAAGTGACATGGTGTAGCTGTGTCAGCCAGCTAGCTACCCATGAGTTTTGTCTGAATTGTTGTCTGAATTTTTGCCTGAAATGTTACAGGTGGTGGTGGGGTTATTTTTGGTGGTGCTTCTAAACAGTATGTTTAGTGTTTAATATATAGAAAAACATGTAGTATGTCTGTCTTTTAAAAAATCCACTCCCTCAATCCACCAACCAAACAAACCAAAAACCCTTTATCTGTTAAATATTGACAAAAATCATTCAAAATTTAGCAGATAATTTTTAAAAGGATAGTGGTGGTGGAGTATTGTACTATTTAGGTTATGCCCTGTAGATCTGGGCCAAGAATATTAAGGTACCAGAAGACTTATTGTTTTTAAGCCAGTTCCATTAATTGTGAAAAGGCTTCTGAACTTGTAGCTTCAGCTTTTATTTTGCAACATTTTATTAATAGATACAGGGCTGTATCCTCAGTGACCAATATTGATATTTCTAAATGCATGTTGGTTATCATAGCTGTATATCATCCTAATTGAATTAATATCAGAAGTAAATTGACCCTTAAAAACATAATTTGGAAAATTAATAGCAATTTTTATAACTGTATTGATGAAGAGAAGATAGTAACATAATTTGTTTTGTATAACTCTAGATTATGTTTAGATTGAGTATACTTTTTAAAGGCCATTAATAACCAAGTTTTGTTTGGCCTCAGTTAACCACCTGTGACCATCTCATCTATTAACATTATTCATATACTCAGAAATTACACTACACAAGCATTAAACACAAACATTCAGGTCACTGATTTCATCTTTCTCCCAGGCTTAAACTTATCATTATATTTACAGTTTTCTGGTATGTATTATGTATTATCTGCCTTCAAAAGACTGTGAAGAGTCATAGATAGGCATCTGGATGAAGCTTTGAGCTTCCCAAAATGCAAGGTGGGTGAACACGAGATACTAGGAAGAGAAAGGATATTGTTCATAGTGATTGTGATAGTGACCTTGAGAAATGCAGTACTTTTACAAGATCATTAGGAATCTGAACTATTCCTCGACATTGGGTTTTCCAAGAGTGTATTTTCTTTAGTTTGCCCATCTCTACTCATATATACCAGCAATTTATAGGCCAGTTAGGAACATGAGATTGGATTGTCCTATTAAAAAAGCATAATACATTTTCATAAAATCCTTCTTTTGATGCCCTTTTTTTTTTAAAGCGCGTCAGCTGACTGTTCAGATGATGCAAAATCCTCAGATTCTTGCAGCCCTTCAAGAAAGACTTGATGGTCTGGTAGAAACACCAACAGGATACATTGAAAGGTACAAGTTCTTCTTTTCCATAGCCCTTATTTATCTTTCTATAATCAACATTGCAGGTGTATCTATTTTTAAGACCATCTAGGATTTATATACATAGTAGTGGAAACCTGATGTCTGTTAGCATCTAAAATAGGATTATTGGAAGTTTAAAATTTTCTTAATAGCACCTGTTTACATTGGTCTTTTAAAGTTTATTTTAGTTCAAGTCATAGGAAGTGTACTGATCTTAACCATTTCTGTGATTTGTTTAGAGGTTTGTTAGAAATGCACAAAATCAGAAGAAATACAGATTTCTTATTTAATTCATGGGTGATGTAAATCATTAATAGCCTTATTCAGCTTACACAATTTTTTAAACTTAGTTTCATGATTTTAAGATCCATTTGGGTTGCCGTCTATATGTATCTAGTTAGTAGCTTCTAAATGTTGCCTACTTCTCTGTAGTGTGTTTTCACTGTGTTCTATTATCTGCCTTTCCTTTGATGGACTCTTATCTTTGTTAATGTAAATTCTGTAGTGATGGATATCCTTGTATGTCCTCTTAAGGAATGTATAAGAATTTCTTTGGGGAATGTACTTAGCAGTGGGATTACTATTTATAGGATGTGCAAGCAATAAGCACTCTTAGTGTGATTTCCAGAAATACTGTATCCAGTGCATGAAGGTTGCTTTATCTTTGTGTCTCTGCCAACAATTGGCATCACCCAGCTTTGTAGGTTTTTTTTTTTCATTTTTAAACCAATCTAAGACATATGGGCTCATTTTGTTTTATTTGTATTTTTTAAATTTCTAATGAGTTTTGAGGTTCTGTTTATAATGTTTGTGAGCCTTTTAGGTTGCCCATTTGTACCATTCTTACTGATGTTATCTTTTTAAAAAATATTTTGCAGAAGTCCTTAGGTATTCTAGATGGCAATTCCCTTACCAATTTTAGACATTGTAAATAATATATTGTGTCATTTCCTATTTTGTCCATTGAGTCCTTTGGTAAACAGAAAGTCTTAATTTTTATTTTAGTAAAATATTTTGTCCTGTGGCTGTGCTTTTGAAGCTTAAGAAGTTCTTCCTAGTTCTTTCTATATTTCCTATTGCCTAGTTTTATCTTTCATATTTAGGTCTTTAAACCCTCTAGAGTCTACATTTGTATTTGGTGTAGGTAACCATCCAGTTCTCTTTTCTCTCCCTCTTCATTTCTTAGCTAGTTTTTACAACACTCTTCACTAAACAATTCATTCTTTTCCCATTTATTTGTGTGCCACTTTATTGCATTATCAAGTTCTTAGAAACACCTGTGTTTGTCTTTGAGCTGTACTCTTTTGTTTCATTGATCTTTTTGTCTCTTCTTTTGTCATTGTCACACTTAATTACTATGACTTTATAGTATGTCTGTATTTGGCAAGGCAAGTTGCTTCTGTTCATGCCTCCCCAATGCCCTCAAACTATGATCTTAAGGTTGACCTAACCATAGGTAGACCTTTATCCCACATATTTGAGAGTTAAGTTTATCAGGTTTTCAACAAACAAAAGAACAAAAAAAAAAACCCTAAATTTTGATAAGAATTATACTGAATTTTTAGATTAACAGAGAATTATACCTTTAATATTGTTTCATCCATATACTTGTATTTATTCAGATCACATTCTGTGTCTTTTATTATAGTTTCATCATTTTCTTCATTTGTTAATCTATTAGTTAATTTCTTTATATTTTAGTTGTGTTGCTATTATGAATAGTATCTTCTTTTTTATTGTGTTTTCTGGTTCCCTGATGTGTAGAGGAGTACTTTTGACCTTTTTTAAAAGTTGATCTTGAATCCAGTAACCTTGCTAAATTTATTGTAGTAATTTGACTCCTCCCCCCAAGATCTTCTCAGCAAATAATGGCAATTTTAGCTCTAATCTTCCACATTACACCATATACTTATTTTTCTTTATAACATTGGCCAGGACTTGCACTTGTTACATTATGGTACTGTGTTAAACATTAGCATTAAAAATGAACATCTCTGTCTTATTTCCATTAGTATTGGGAATGAATATATAACCTTTCTGTTAAATTCTGTGCCTTTTTTTTTTTTTTGAGACAGTCTTGCTCTGTCCTCTGCTAGAGTGCTGTGGTGTCAGCTTAGCTCACAGCAACCTCAAACTCCTGGACTCAGGCAGTCCTCCTGCCTCAGCCTCCCAAGTAGCTGGGACTACAGGCACATGCCACCATTCCAGGCTGATTTTTCCTATTTTTTAGTGGAGACAAGGTCTCGCTCTTACGCTGGTCTGGAACTCCTGCGCTCAAGCCAGCCTCCCACCTTGACCTCTGAGAGTGCTAGGATTATAGGCGTGAGCCACTGCAACTGGCCAAGTTCTGTGCCTATTTACTATTTTTAAATCTGACTTTTTTTTCTGTATTGATTAAGATGCTCTTTTGTACTTTTTTCCTATTAAGCAAATATTAAGTAAATGTTTTGGAAATACGTATTTTGGATATCAAACTAGCCTTGCATTCAGGATATGTTATTGTTACACAATTGAGTTCAGTAGTTAATATTTTAGGTCTTTATTCATTAGTGAAATGAGCTTGTGTGTGCATATGTATGTGTGCAGGTATGTATATATGTATGTACATAAATATACTTTCAAGGTATGGTATACTTAACTAGTTTTGGAGTTAAGGTTTTAACTGCTGTATGAAATGAATTGGGCTGCTTTTACTTTTTCCCTCTTTTTTCTGCAGCACGTTGTATAAGGTAGGAATTAACTGTTTCTTGAATGGTTGGTAGAACTCTTCTAAAAGTTTACTTGGTTCTTTGGAGTTTTGGAACTAGAGGTCCTGGGGAGTTTTGAGCTATAGATTTTGTTTGTTTGTTTAAGCATACTTATTGGTCTATTCAAGTTGTGTCAGTTTTGCAGTTTTATATGTTTTATGTTCTAAACTTGCATGCATTTTAAGTCTTAGATTGATCATAGTTCATGATTTTTTTAAAAATCTGATTTTTTTCTTTTATATTGTTTTTTATATCCTAAGTTTTACTAGTTGTCTTGGATCTTATTAATGTTTCTTGATTTTGCTTTTGATTTTGTTTCTCCACATTCTTTGTTGTTGCTCACTGATTTCTGGCTTATCATTTCCTCTTTACTTAGGTTTATTCCATTTCTTTTTCCAATTAAAATAGAATGTTTAGTTCATTTGATTTTTATTTTTTAATCTGTGTCCTTAATACTCTTGTTATTATAAATGTTGTGTATGTATTGTGTGTGAAGATCTAGATACTGAAATTAATAGCTTAAGCTTACTAATTGTATTAATTCAGGCTCTTTTTATTTCTGCTAATTGATTGATTGTCTGCTTGATTGCTTGCTTGTCTGGGAGAGGAATCTTAAAAATCTCCGATTAGGTTCTCCCTATATTTCTATCAGTTGTGGATTGATAGATTTTGAAGCCATATCATTAGGTATATGATGTTTGTGACGTATGTACCTTGTTCTCGTTCCATTTTACTGATAGGTATGTAATGTCTTATTTTGTATTTTATCCGGTTTTTTGGGCATAAATTCTATTTGCCTGATACTATAATACACATCCCAGCTTTTTTTTTTTTTTTTAAACTGGTATGTCTTTTTCCATCTTTGTATCATTCGTTAATATGAATGTTGGCTTCTTTATTAATAAATTCAGCTTCTTTACATTTCTTGAATGTTGTATTGTTTTTGGACTTACTGCTGCCATCTTTCTCTGTTTTTAAATTTATTTTACTTTGGCTCTTTTTTTAGTCCTTTTCTGCTTTGCATTGGATAGATCAAGTTGCCTTCTTGTTCCAAAGTTAATGCATTATGTTTGTTGTTATTGTGGTAGTGGCATATAACCTAATACCTAAGTTTATTTACTTCTATTGATTTCTTTAATTTGCTAATATCTAATCTGTATTGTTTATAAATGTACTTACTCTTGTCCTCTCTATTTCCTTCAAGGCAACAGTGAAATTTACAAAGATATTTGATCACACCTATACTTTTTAATTCTATAATCTCCTAGATTTGTGGGGTTTTTTTTCTTTTTCAAAAGTTGGTTTTAATAATTTAATGAGTATCTTTGGCATACCTCCTGAATCCTGATATGCCTGCTAAAATTTTTATCTTGGTTTCATATCTAAATAATGTAACTGGCTATGAAATGATAAAGTGAAAGTTCTTAAATAACTTAAAAATAATGATTTATTTTTTCTTGTTTTTAGTGTTTCTTTTGAAGCCTGGTGTTAGTCTGGTTCCTTTTCCTTTGTAGGTTCTTTGCTCTTTTTCACTGAACTCCTTAAGAATTTTCTTTTGTCTTTGATATTCATCAATCTCATTAATATGTTTGGGATAGAGTAAAGATTCTCATATTGCTTTAAATCTTAGAAATTTATCATTTTCATTTCTTAAGATAATCTCCCCCTTCTCTGCCAGCTTTTGCTACTTTTGTCATCCATATCTCAGATTTTCTATTTTCTGTCTTTCATGCTACCTTCTGGGAGAACTTTTCAACCTCATGGACTTTTTTCTTCAGTTGAATTTATCCTGTTTATCCTATTTGTTGGTTATTTTAGTTACTGTATTTTCCATACTTAACATTCCCACTTTGTTTTAGATTTTTTTGGTCTTGTTTCCTATTATCTTTCCTCATCTCTAAATATATTTATATTCTTGTTTAAATTCTTAGTCTGTCTAAATGCTGCTTCAGCTAATAATTATTTTACTCTTTCATAGAAATTATACTCTTGAAGTCTAGTTATTTTGGCCTTTGAGCTCAGGAGCACTGGGCAGTATACAGTTAATAATGGCTATTTAGGTGAGAAATCAAGGTCAGACTGTGGTATGTGACAGTTCCATGGAGTTTAAGAAGGGGGCAAGATGAGCCTAAGCAGAGGTCTCAATGCCAGGCAGTTTTCCTGGTGTGCTTTGGGAGGCGATAAGCCTCTTTGGTTGTTTAATTCATTTTACCAGAATAGATAATGTGGAGGAATGAATGCTTGAGGGCTCTGAGCTAGTCAAGGTTTCATCAGCTCTTCATGTTATTCTAGGAACCTTGACATTGGGGTCTTGTCAAGGGGACAGACATTGATTGTTGCAAGGCTAGACCCGAACTTAAAAAGTTTGTTTGCAACGATGCCTTGTTTTAACTTGTCCTCACTGCTGCCTACTGTGGTTATCCCTTCCATTCATTCTCCAGGTTGTAGCTCACCCTATACCAAGGACAGCTTTAAATCTTATTTTGCTTATGGGTGTGTGTGTGTGTCTGAAATAGTTGTTTCCTTCTTGGTTCTACAGTTTCTGGGGTTGGTTTTAGGGGTTGGGGGGTTGGGCAGGGGAAGCCAAAAGCTCTTACTAGTTCCCCCACCTTAATAGAACATTGTTTTTTATTTTTAATTGTGAGAAAAGAAGTTGAGATCTTTAGGTGTTTTGTTTTTTGTTTCTAATAATCATAATAATTATTTGGTTTATAAAAATTTTATCTGTGGCAGCATATTTTAACCTGGACTTTGTATGTGATACATCGATTCCCTAAAGTTAGGTGAATTTTGAGTGTGAACATTTTTGGGTGGTAGAAGGGTTTATAAGTTTAATCATTCTTCAAGGGACTTAAAACTTACTGTATATAACCTTTTAAAAAATCAGTGCCCCGTAATGAGTTATATGATGTATGTATGGATTATATTTCAACAAAGCTGTTGTGTAAAAAAACCCTCTTCCTAATATATTACATTCTTATGTAATTTCAAATTCCAAATTAAATATGAAAACTAAAATAGAAAATAATGGTGTAGGATATCGTCTTTTCCTCTAATATACATATTCTCTCCTCCTCCTTTTTCATAATAACTGATACAGGTGAGATATATGTCAAAAAAAAACAAAAAAAAGAAAGAAAAATCCAAGCAACCATCGTTAGAGTTAAATGGTCAGTCCATGACTTATAATTTGATAAGCTGTTTGTATTTTACTTTTGAGATACCAGCAATGACAAGTCCAACACTGAACTTGATTACACTTTGAGGGTTGACAATGTGATTTACATTTAATGTGATTTACATTTTCTTGTTAGTATACTTTGGTTAAATTTCTACTTTTTAAATATTCTATGGTCAAGGGGTCAATATATTTATGTCTATTTTGGATTTTAATTACTTTGAATATACCTGTCATTCACTAACTGTTGTGCTTCAGTTTCAATATGACAAAGGAAGTGTGACTTCTGTTTTCCTGTGATGCTGTGTAACCGGTTTCTAACCTTTCAGCTTGCCTAGGGTAGTTAAAAGACGAGTGAATGCTCTCAAAAACCTTCAAGTTAAATGTGCACAGATAGAAGCCAAATTCTATGAGGAAGTTCATGATCTTGAAAGGAAGTATGCTGCTCTCTATCAGCCTCTATTTGACAAGGTAAATGTTTTCTACTGCTTTGTTTAATTTATCTAACATTCTAGAAAACCAGCGCTGGAAATATAAACAAACTTGCAAGTGGTTAGTCTTTAGACCTCTCACTGAAATGGTTATTAGAGGTACTTGGGAAGCTATCAATAGCACTTAAGGTTGTGATATACGTTAATTAAATCTATAGGAGTCCTTAATAAGAAACTACTAGTTTTGAGCTTGGATGCCAGTGTTTTCATGCAAGCCCTTTTTTTTAATCATTTTAGCGATTTGAGATTATTAATGCAATTTATGAACCTACGGAAGAAGAATGTGAATGGAAACCAGATGAAGAAGACGAAATTTCTGTAAGTATCAACTTTTAATGTGCTTTTAGGTGATAAAAATCTTAAGAGTTTTGTCAAAAGTGTTATCATTTGGTGATAGGCTATAACAGTATATAATCAGTGGTGTTATTATACCTAAGAAATGTTTTCTTTTTTTTTGTAAGATTAATAGTATAGATAAGCCAGTGCTTAACCTAGTACCATCTACCCAATATCATTTTTTTATCTTTTTTACAGTATTTAAGTATTAATAATATTTAAGGTTTATAAATTCATAAAACTTTTCCTTTGAACTTCATGATGACAGGCATAGGATTTTTCCCATTTTTCAAGTGAAGAAATAAAGGCTTTTAAGTGACTCAACCACAAAGAATAATGGCAGAACTGTGACACAGCTTCAGTGCTGTGTTACATGGCCCGGTTCTGTAGCATTGTTATTTAATGTCGGTTGATTAAGAGAATATAATATTTTGATTAAGAACACCATAGGATGAGGCATTGGACAAAGTTAAGTTAATCTTCCTTTTGCTTTTCCTGTTTATTTAAGTCTTCCTTTTTCATAAAGGTTTTCATTTTTTTTTTTTTTCTCTATAATGGTTTTTCTTATAGTTCTTGGTCCTAGTGATTCTTTTTGGTGGGGTCTGATAGCAGTAATTCTGATGAAAATAAGGTTTGGTATGGGTAACAGCAGTGTTTACACAATGAGATACAAACTTCTTTGGCTGAAAATTATAATTGGTGATCTGTGGGTTTCTGGGTTTCTATATTTTTTGCCACTGCATGTAAGTTAAGATTTACAAGATTTTATCAAGAAGTCTAATCCATGCATTCAATAATGTTTGCTGTCATTTATCAAGGAGGAGCTAAAAGAAAAGGCCAAGATTGAAGAGGAGAAAAAGGATGAAGAAAAAGAAGATCCCAAAGGAATTCCTGAATTTTGGTTGACTGTTTTTAAGAATGTTGACTTGCTCAGTGATATGGTTCAGGTAATTTTATTCATTAAAACACCCATTTACCTCAATGGGAAACTTTTGAAATTTAAATAGCTGTGATGACTGTTCTCTTCAGTGTTGCCCTTTCTAAAATGATTGCTTACTTTTGAAACAGCTAGTATCTGTAGGAGGATGATTACAGCTTTGATTAATATAATCAAATAAATTACAGTTATTTTCAAAAATTAGATAATAAAATGGTTCCATTGATAATTATTCATTATTAACTGATGTTTTCTCATAGCCCTGTGCCTTTTGTCTTTACATGCTTAGGATAGGGAAGACAATCTTAGTTTTCAATTGCTCGGCTCCCAAAAAGAGCTTTTCAATCTGAAACCAAACTATTCCACGAGAAATTTACATTTTAAAAGAATACTGTAAAGACGTTTAACTCACAGTTGTCATATTTCTTTGTGAAACCATCACAGATGTCACTTTCTTTGGGAAACTGCCTCTCCAGTATTTCTTGAGCCACTACCATCTGCATTGTAGTACCTGTTGCCCTATCTTGTAATTATTAGAAGTTACATTGAGATAAATAAATGATCTCAACACAATTACTGCTTATTGCATTTCTACTTTAGCAAAGTAGAAAAGAATCAGGCAGGAGGAAAGGAACAAGCAGCTGGAAAATGCAGCAATTACAATCAGGAAACATTTTTAAAGCAAATATAAAAACCAGCAAAGACTTGGCTTTATGTTTGTTAGCCCATTCAGCCTAATAATGATATAGTTCTACTTGGTCACTTTTTTTCTACCAGTGACAGTAGACCCATAGTAAAAACTAACTTCAGTATAAGCCATAATCTGGAAACTAAGTCTGAAAGTTATCATTATTATATAAAACTTTACTAAAAATATATTGTCTCAGCTACTGTCTGTAGTAACAGAATACAAACCCTAAATGCCATGTTAGATACTAATTTTTATTATTTTTTAATTTCAAGGAACATGATGAACCTATTCTGAAGCACTTGAAAGATATTAAAGTGAAGTTTTCAGATGCCGGCCAGCCAATGGTAAAAGAACTTTGAAATATTTATGATTTTATAACAGGTGCTTACAGGTAGATAAATAATCCTTTTTAAAAAGAGTGACCATTCAGTGGTTAGGGATAGAGATGATAGGAAATTGATACTTGGTACTGTTTTCATTGTAGTAAATAAGTATTTATATGTTACTAATTATGGCACAATATTTATTCATTTTCCTCTCTCTGAACATAAACTATTTTTGAAATACAATCCTTGATCCTGGGTTAAAGTGGATAAAAATAATGGCAAGGGAACAAGAAAAAGTAAATACTTATTCTGTATTAAAGTGCATGTGCCTGGAAATTACATAAAACAGATAATGTTAGAGGGCTTCTACTTCCCGATGAGTAGGGGGAGTAGATCAGCTAACAACCTATTCCCCAAACCACCAGTATTTTATATCAGCTGTGGGCAAAGCTACTATAGGTAAAGGCTGTAGATTTTTAAGGTTGGGCTTTTTCTTTGTCAGGCTCAGGTTCTAGTCTACTATTAAGCCCTCTTCATGGGGTAAGTAGGGAGGGAGACTTGGTCAGTTACAATGTGCCCATCCTATTGTGTAAACATGTTACACATCACTTTACAAATTACTATTACTTTAGTTGTAAATGGAAATTAAACTTTATTAGTTAATTTCTACTTCTTTTTGCTTTTAACATAATTTGGGGTTAGAGTAGGAAAAACATGATAATGTTTTTCTGAATCTTATATATGCTTATAAAAAACCACAGATTAAGCTTTATTTACCAAAGCATTGGCAAAATTTATTTTGTAGGTATTTAACTAATTTTTCTTTTCTTTTCTTTGAAAGAGTTTTGTCTTAGAATTTCACTTTGAACCCAATGAATATTTCACAAATGAAGTGTTGACAAAGACATATAGGATGAGGTCAGAACCAGATGATTCTGATCCCTTTTCTTTTGATGGACCAGAAATTATGGGTTGTACAGGGTGAGTTTAATTTTACTACTTAGACAGAATGTTGTATCAGTTTTTGTTGTACTTACATTTGTGCACACTTGTTATTTTCAGTTACATATATGCACAGTCTGTCTCCAGAGATTTTGGTAAAATGTTCTCTGAGAAGTGCTTAATCATTTTCCTACACTTCTCCTCAGACCCATGACTATAACATATATTATTGCAAAGGAGTGCCTCTTTAAATTTATTATACTGTGTGTTTGTGCTAATTGTAAATATGTTTATTTAAAAAATTTGTTTAGAAATAAAATTTTCCCCTTTACACTGCTACAGAAAACATATGAGCCAATTTCCCCCTCTAAAATTTTGAAAGCTAAATATAACATTTACTTCTAAAAATTTAGCAATTAAAAATGTGCTAAATGTGATGGAAGGTTTTTCTCCTTTGTTTTGCAAGGTGCCAGATAGACTGGAAAAAAGGAAAGAATGTCACTTTGAAAACCATTAAGAAGAAGCAGAAACATAAGGGACGTGGGACAGTTCGTACTGTGACTAAAACAGTTTCCAATGACTCTTTCTTTAATTTTTTTGCGCCTCCTGAGGGTAAGTACTATTTTAGTTTGGTTATTAATGGTGGTTTTATAATAAGCTTTATTTAATTTCTTATTCATTTGAATTTCTCTTCTCTGTTTTTATAGTTCCTGAGAGTGGAGATCTGGTAAGTTGAGTTGTTATTTATTGTTTACTGTGTTAAAGCACTAGTCAGTCCTCAAAAGTGGAGAGGGGATGGTCATTGCTAGTATTGTGTTCTGAGGCCTGCATGCACTGGATAGGCCTTTATGGATCTGAAAAATTGTTCCATTCAAAGTGATGTTACTGCCTCTATTGAGAGACAGTGAAATAAAAAGTTAGATTTTCTTTTGATACTTGTAAATGTTTCTCTGAAGGATTTAACTTTTCAAAACTATTTTTATCCTTAATGAAACCAAAATGTATTCAATTTATACTATTTACTCAATTCCTAGCCATATTATGATTAGGTTTGTGGCATATACCTTTCCTGTGTCTTATTACAATAGAAATATGGTTGTATATTGTAGCCATATATGTTTAGGTTATATGTGGCATATAACAAAAAATTATAAAATGTACCTACCATGTAGCCTGGACTGACGAACCGCCTCAAAAATGGTCTGTACAGGCAGGGTGGGCCAGGTGTGTTTTGAATTTGTTTTTCTCTTGGTCAGATTTTTGGATTTAAATTAACTGAAAGAGTTTAACTAGTTTTATACATATATAGAATTAGAAATTATATTAATTTGAATACTTCTGTATTGGAATCATCTTGGCTAAGGCTTAGATCAGATCTGCAAAAGGCAAATATTTCAGTCTGAAAAGATTAATAACTGGCTTAGTTCAAAATACCTTTTACAGGATAAAAAATGAGAGTATAAAGCAGTGTGTAAATTTTAGGTAAGAATTATTTTGAGTATTAAGATAGAGCTTCATATTTTTTCATGTCAGTGGATGGGTTAAAGCTTATGTTCAAGTTCTTTTTTTTTTCTTTTTGAGACAGAGTCTCACTTTGTTGCCCAGGCTAGAGTGAGTGGCATGGCATCAGCCTGGCTCACAGCAACCTCAATCTCCGGGGCTCAGCGATCCTACTGCCTCAGCCTCCCGAGTAGCTGGGACTACAGGCATGCGCCACCATGCCCGGCTAATTTTTTTGTATATATATTTTTAGTTGGTCAATTAATTTATTTCTATTTTTGGTAGAGACGAGGTCTCGCTCAGGCTGGTTTCGAACTCCTGACCTTGAGCAATCCGCCCGCCTCGGCCTCCCAAAGTGCTAGGATTACAGGCGTGAGCCACCACGCCCGGCCAAGTTCTTTTTCTTAGTTTGTTACTAAATATCGATGGTGACAAAACAGTCTTGAAAACCTCTACCTCGTGATGTGAATTTCTTCCTTTAAAATTCACTTCTCCCCCCTTTTTGTACTTTTTAATTTTTTAGATTATGTTGGATGACACAGTAAAGGTTCATGGAATTCACAGATGGTGTACTCATTGTTTAGTATTCAGAACCATTTCTGTGTTGTGCTTTGCCATTAAATGGAAATTGTAGATTGAGTTTATTGTTATTATCATTTGGCATTAAGTAGACTTAAAACTGTACAGCAACTTGAAAGTGTAGTTTAGGAAATATGAAGTGATCCTCTGTGGTCTTTTATGTTCTTCTATTTGCCAAATACTTGATGTTGTTATTAATGAAAGCCTGGGATTCTTTTTTGGGTTTTTTTTTTTTTTTTTTTTTTTGAGACAGGGTATCTCTGTTGGCCTAGACTATAGTACAGTGGCATTATCATAACTAACTGCAACCTCAAACTCCTGGGCTTAAGCCATCTTCTTGCCTCAGCCTCCTGAGTAGCTGGGACTACAGGCATGTGCCACCAGGCCTGGCTAATTTTTTTGTTTTTTTGTAGATGGGAGATTTGCTAACTCTTGGGCTCAAGTGATCCTCCCATCTCGGCCTCCCAAGTGCTGGGATTATAGGCGTGAGCCATTGTGCCTGGCCCTGAGATTCTAAGTATTGCTCCATTTGGTGTTTTCAATAATAATTTAAAAGGAAAATTGCAGTCATGTAACAAATTTGCTTTTATATTGTATTGTATAAGTCATAAAAAACTAACCAGTTCTAGTTTTTATTTCTCCACATGTATGTAGTATGTACACTGGCCTGCTGACTTGCTTTTTATAAAAAACTTGTAAAACTAGGGTACATAGATGACTTCTTGATCACATGCATATAGGCTAATTTAAAAATGACAAAGTAAAAAGGTTGGGTTTCTTCTCTTCATCATATGATTTAAACCAAAAAGTCTCACATATGCCAAGTTAAATAACAGAATTATTCATAAGTTTTGTGCTTTTATCTTCCTTTTAAAAACAGGATGATGACGCTGAAGCTATCCTTGCTGCGGACTTTGAAATCGGTCACTTTTTACGTGAACGTATAATCCCAAGATCAGTGTTATACTTCACTGGAGAAGCTATTGAAGATGATGACGATGATGTGAGTGAGTTTGAATTCTGAAAAGAAATAATTTGCTGAGGGTACAGTAATCAGAGTTATAAGAGGTTAGAATTAATTTTTAAAAAGCAGGACATAGAATAATTCAAAATTAGGCTAATCACTGACTATATATATATATATATATATATATATATATCTTTACTGAGTTTGAAGTAGGTCTTCTTAGAATCTTTGGATTCATTTATCTTAGTTTTAAATTTTCTGCTAATAGGAAGATTATTCTGAGTTAGTGTAACTTTTGTTTGGTTAATGTTGTAGGTCTATTATGCTCTCACCTTTGACCATACAGAACTAGGACATTTTTTTAGTGCTTTAACATTTATTAGGAGGCATAGAATTTTTTTTATCCAAGGGAATATTAAGTAATGATTAAAGAAACCTTAGGTTGTCCTTTAAAATGTTTTAGATATCCTTATTGCTAAATGGTAATTGTTAGAATAGGTTTTTTGTAATCAGTTACTTTATGGGAAAGTATTATTTCTCTTTTTAGATATTAGTTTATAAAGTGGTGCATGTTACTAATGCCATTCTCAAATGCATATTCACTCACACTTACACTGTTTTTCTTTTCAGTATGATGAAGAAGGTGAAGAAGCGGATGAGGTAATGTTTACCAAATGAGCAAATAATTCTCTGTGTTTAACACATTGAGAAGTGAATTGATTGATTTATGTATTCCTTTGCTATAATCATTATTCTGTGATTTGGGATAAAAACATTTTGGAAAATATGATTTTAGAATTCTTCAGCCAATCAATGTATGTATAAGGTTTCAATAAATAAATTGCAAAACTCAGCAACTTTTTTTATTTCAAATAATTTTGTTCTGCTGCAGGGTTATCAGCTCTTTGAAGAAGTCAAAAGCTGCAGTAAACTTTTTCAACGTTGGCTGCAGTAAACATTTTCAATAAAAGCTGTTTGGAATGTCTCAAGTTGTGTTGGGAAATTTTTCATATTAGAAGCTTTCAGATTAAATTGTTATCACCGAAGTCTGTAATATGAAAATCTGTTGATCCCTAGAGTAATTTGTATTAAATTTTCCGTACATTATAAGCCAATTTATCCTACTATGTACCTACTTCATGGATGCATTTTGAACTTTAATATAGGAAGGGGAAGAAGAAGGAGATGAGGAAAATGATCCAGACTATGACCCGAAGGTGAGCAAAATTAGTGCTGCTTTCTATTAAATATAAGGCAGGCTAAAGTAAGAGTTGGTATTTCTGAATATAGTTTAGTTTTTTCCATTAAAAGTCTTCAATACAGCCCATTGACTGGATAATATTTTTTTTCTTTTTCCAATCCCGTTGGCATATTGAACAGTACACATAATATCAATGGACCTTTCCTAAGAAACATTGTTTTGGATCTGACTGTATTTTTTATAGTTTCAGGCTAAGTAAATGCTAGGATTCTATTTTATTGGCACATTGTCTTGGGCATTTTTTTCTTTTTAACAGTTTTTAAGCATTAAAGAAAGTTGATTGGTTGGGTTCTTAGTCTGTTTTTCCTCCAAAGGAAAGCTTATAAACAAATGTCAGTTTTTAAAAGATCTGAATGCAGGAAGAGTTTGGGAACTAGGCTAGGGAGCAGTGCTGTTAAATTCTTTCAGCCACCTCTATTCCTCAGTCCTTTAGAGTCCCAGTCTATTATTCCTGGGAATTTGTCATATCAGGGTTAGTTGAGGTCTTCATCTTCCACAAAGTATGTAGTATATCATCATGATTCATTTAAAACATCAGTTTTCTCTTTAGTGCATTCATTCATTCGCTTAATACAATAAAATATTCAGATGATGATTTAACTTGGCAAGTAGGAAAGGGTAATTTATTAATAAAAACAAATTAAATATTCTAGCAGGTGTGAATTACTCTTAATAGCTAAATATGAATGGAATTATTATCTTTGAATAATTGATCTATAAAAAGGCAAAACTTATTGATAATATGACTAACATAAATTGCTTGGTAATTTTATTTTTTAAAGATTTTGGAATAGTGTGTCATTTTATGGAGTTAATTTAACAATGTAAAATTTGGACTTTAGGATTTCAGTGACTTGCTAATATGTGAATAAATAATTTGCCATCCTTGTCTATGTCCTATACCATTTCTTTAATTTGGTGAAATCTTTAACAAAACAGATACTATGATAATTAAGGTAATTAACTACTATTGAAAAATTCACTGAAGCAGGTAGAAGAAGATAGATTGACTTGTTGTTTTCCTTTAACAGAAGGATCAAAACCCAGCAGAGTGCAAGCAGCAGTGAAGCAGGATGTATGTGGCCTTGAGGATTATCTGCACTGTAATAGCCTAAACACAACTATTATTTACTTACAGCCTTATGTTTTTGTATTTTCTTGGTAGACTCAGTAATTTTTTTTTAAAGAACAGGAACTGATATTTAAAGACCAATTTGTTCTACCTAGCATTTTAACTATGGTTTTTCTGCCAGGTATGTTGAAGGCACAAATTATTTCACGCATGTTCATTCATTGCTACATAGTTTGGTTCTTCTGGAATATTTTCATCATGTAGCTATTGGGGTACAGCTATTAAAATTAATAACTGTTAAATGAAACATGTTTTTTCCCCTAATTTTTTCCTCGAAGAACCAAAGTATTTCTTTAGCTGTTAGTTGAATGAGGTTAAGTCCGCTTGCATTGGCCGTGCCTTTCATTACTTTGTTATAGAAATGCAGTGACATAAACTTAAGACAATTCATCATTAAAAAATAATTTTGGCGAATCAACTATATGGTTAAGAATTTCCAGTAAGACCATACCCGATAACTGTTAGGTTGTTACTGGATTTTTATATTTTAGGTGGCATAGTTAACTATAAAGAAACTTAACTCATAATACAGTTATGAGTTTTATTCACCTCACCACAGGGAGGTGAATAAAAAGTTTTATTCACCTCACCACAGGGAGGTGAATAAAACCTAGGCTTTCCAAAAGTTAGCCTGATATTATTTAACTGTACTTTTAAATTTAACCTCCATTAACTAAGTATCTTTTTTTTGTGGTAGGGTCTGCCTTCTGCTTCCCTGGAAAGGATGAATTTACATCTTTTGTCAAGCCTATTTCAAGTTTTTTGTTGTTGGTTGGTTGTTTGCTTGTTTTTGTTTTTGCAGCCTAAAATAAAATTGTCAAATACACTTTTAGTTCTTAAAAGATAATGTCTTAATTTTGTACTAATTCAGGTAGAAGCAGAGGCCTAGTTTGAATTAAGGGTTGTACCCATTTTACCAAATTACTGAAGAAAAGGGTACCAACTTTAGAAGAGGTACTACATCTATTAAGAAGCAAGTGTTAAAAATATAAAGGACAAAATCTTAAATGACGTGATGGTTTTTTAAAAAGAAAAATTTAAAAAGTTAAATTTAATTTTCTTTCAGTTTAGAACTAGAGAGAAGGCCCCAAGCCTCTATGGTATATACTAATTCTTACTGCTTAAAGTATGTCATTTACCCATGTTTCTGTTTACTATGTGTTAAAATGGGTAGTACTGTTTACCTAACTACCTCACAGATGTGTTAAGGCTTATTAAGTTAAATCTCATGAAATGTTTCTCAGTCTCATTAAAAGTTCAAGATTTTGGGCCTTTTTGTAATACAAGTGTTATATTCAGCATCTTATTCATACCATGCTTTGATAATTAAACTGGAAAACAAAGGTTAAGTATAAGTACCTCTATTCTGGATCTGGGCAGGCAACACTCTTGCAGATCTTTGTGTGGCTCTGGGTGGATGAACTATTTCAAAAGGTCCAAGGATTTTTTTTCAGATATTTTTGATGATCATACTGTAGTAAATACTGTAGGGATCATGGGAATAAAGTGGAAATATGACCATTTTTGGAAAAAAATGCCATTAAATTTGAGACTGGAGAGCCACATTTAAAATACCTCAGGCTAATTACTGTTAATTTTTTGGGATGGACTTTTTTTTGATAGTGAGGGTGGACTAAGTGGATTATAATTAGAGTAAGGTCTAGAGTTCTTGCTCTTAATAAAATAACATTGAATTCATGTTTAGAGGTGATAGAGCTTCCTTTTTGAAAAGGTAGCATAAAGGTTTTAGAATGTGAACACATATTGTTATTTGTGTAGTGTTATCCATTCCTCTACTGAGATTTTTAACTTACTACTGGAAATCCTTAACCAATTATAATAGTTTTTTTCCTCTTTATTTTCAAAATGATTTTGGTTGCTTTGATTAGATGTTCTGTGCTGGTTTTTATTTTATTTTTTGTAACCATAGCTCATCTAAACACACCTTTTTCTGAACTTGAAAATTTTTTTATCTAAAGATAGAATCCCATTTTTAATGAACTTAAAGTAGCAAAGTCACTATTTTTTTCATTCCTTTAGGAAATAGCTCTTGCCAAAGTGAAGGGGTAGATAATATTGAGTCTTGTTATATAATGGGGATGTGGTTTGCAGCAGGATTTCATTATGGTTGGAGTTTCAAGGGATGTCAGTGTTTATGCGATTTCTCCAGTTCCAAAATAGTTCTATTCCATTCTAGAAGTCTGAAGTATGTAATTTGAAATCCTTAATAAAATTTGGATTTAATTTTATAAAATGTACTGGTGATATTTTGGGTTTTTTTGTAAAAAAGTGAATATACATTTTTTGAAGAGTGGAACATAGAGATGTGTAGAGTAGGCTATTTTGTGCTTTGGCCACTATGACCTATAAAAAAAATCTGTGTAATTTTAAGAACAGCCTTCTAAGCCCTGCAAAAGTGGGGTTTGTTATTTGATGGCTAGAAAGAAATTCCATAGTTTCTGGCAGGATGTTTTTGAGACACTTCAAAAATTTGCCTTTATATATCCTCAGTTTATAGTTTTCACCAGCCCATGCACTTAGTACCAGGAATCTGTCTCATTTTTTTCCCTTTTGAAATGGTGAAATCTCATATAGTCACCAATAATGACAAACTTTGAAAAAACAAATTTCAGTACTGTCACTTTATGATCCTACATGTATGGTAAATGAGCCGAGAACAACGCTTCCACAAATTGAGTTAATAGTTTGATATAGATGTCTGAAAGTCACATCTATACAATTTCTTGGAATTCTTTTATCTAGTTTACTGAAATAGTATTAGCATCACTATTTTAGACCCTGAAAATATGTTAATTGTGTCGAATTTGCTTACAGAGTGGTGCTTAAGAAAAATGGGATTCTACCTCTATTTCCTTTTTAGCTCATTTAACAACAAACATGAAAAGGATATATTAGCATTCATAGAAATATTTTTATTGTGTGAATAGGTTAATGATAGTGATTGGCATCTGGTAAGGCCATAAGATAACTGAATTAACAGTTTATATTACTGTTGCTTGTAAGACAGTATGAATTTGTGGGTTTAAGTTGTAGGCCATTCCCATTATTAAAAATTAAGACAAAACTTTGAGTTACTGTTAGTGAAAACCTTATCATGCCATGCAGAAATACTAAACTAATATTCAATTATTCTTTGGATGCTTTGGTTTCAGGGCTTGGTTTAAAATTTGAGTCCATTTTTATGGGTTAGTCTTAAAAAATTTTAGCCTTTATATTTTTAACTATTTTAAATCAAGCCAAATGTCATTTTAAATGTACAGAATAAGATGGTTTAGAAGCGCATAAGTTCTTTGTAGGAACTTTAGAAAAGAAATATATATATGCAATTTCAGTTTAAGCTTCTACACTGTGTATATACTTGGTAATTGTGAGCTCGATTTTGTTTTGAAAATGTGTTCATAATTTAGGTAATTTGCTTCTTAAAGCACGAAGTCTCTGATAGCTGAAAAGCAAATGTAAATGATAATGGTGAAATCATACTGAAATCAACTTATAGATGTATAATGGTGATTTTTGTATACTGGTTTAAAAATCCAGATATTAAAATATAACCTGGTTATAAAAAGCCAAATTCTTGGACTGATTAGAGATCACTTATGTGACTTTAGAAATGAAAACATCCTTGTTGGTGTATGAAACTAATTAAGGATAAGTTGCTATCCATAAGAAATTTTAATTGATGTATTCGGTTAATTATATTTTCAAAAAATCACTATATTTTGTACCTTGTGTTTCTTCCCATTGACATACTGCACTTTTAGGTTTTTCAGTTTACAAAAAAGTTATTGACTAAAATTGTCAAGTACAGACAGTGCTTGACTTCGGTGACTGACTTTAGATTTTTTTCAACTTTATGATGAGTTTTTTGGGGCATTAAATGCATTTAATTATGATATTTATGACTTATGATGGGTTTGGGAATGTGACCTCATTATAAGTTGGAGCATCCGTATAAAAGAAATGGGGCTTATTAATTTAGAAATAATGGATTGCCAGCAGGAAATAAGTCAGTCATTAGTTTCCATATTGGAATTTGAGCATTTATAGCCTTTGTGGATTTCTTAATTATTTGTTTTGAGTTTTATTATTTTAAAACCCAGGAAAAAAATGTTCCTTAAAATAAAAGCAGTTTTTAGTTTCTTGTATATTTTAAACTTACAATTGAAAAGGAACTGATCAAACTTTTAAGTGCCAGAAGTTGACAGAGTTAATGATATTATTCATAATTTTACCATTCAAAATGTAGTTAGGCAGTTGGGGCTCTGATAGACTTCATGAGGTTGTAAATAGTTTCTGTTAGAATGCTCAACACTTGGATGAGAGCTTTTAGCTGAGATTTCAAGAGTGAGCAGGAATTTGTGAAGAAGTGAAGGGAGGAACCTCTGAATAGTGAACAGTTTAGATGGAAGAACAGGAAATACAGGTGAAGTTCCCAGAACAGAACAATCCAGGGTACATCCAAAGAAGTGAAACAACTGATGGTAATACAAGAGGCCTATCCAGAGAAGGCTTAGCTATGGAAGTCTTTTAAAAAGGTTTTAAACACTGAAAACTACCTCTTCAGAATATTTCAAGTAAGGATGACCTTTCCATGAAGATAATTTTTAAACCTAAGACATGATGATTGATAGTTGAAGTCAGCCATTTATTTGAAGATACAAACGTTTGAGGTAGGCAGGCCCCAGGACTAGTTAGAGGCCAGTAGAGGCCCCATAGGTTAAGTGACTGGTGTAAGGGGTAGAAAAGTGGTAAACAAGATGGTGTTAAAGAGCTAAGAGGATTTTCTTTTACTTAACCAAGAACAAAAACAATTATTTGTTGTTGTTGTTTATTTCAGCATATTATGGGGATATAAATGTTTTGGTTATGTGTGTTGCCTTACCCCCCCCCCCCCCCCCCCCCGCCCCAGCAATTTTTGTTTGTTTTTTTTTTTTTTTTTTTTTGAGACAGAGTCTCGCTTTGTTGACCAGGCTAGAGTGAGTGCCGTGGCGTCAGCCTAGCTCACAGCAACCTCAAACTCCTGGGCTCGAGTGATCCTTCTGCCTCAGCCTCCTGAGTAGCTGGGACTACAGGCATGCGCCACCAATATCAGTTGGCCAATTAATTTCTTTCTATTTATAGTAGAGACGGGGTCTCGCTCTTGCTCAGGCTGGTTTTGAACTCCTGACCTTGAGCAATCCGCCCGGCTCAGCCTCCCAAGAGCTAGGATTACAGGCGTGAGCCACAGCGCCTGGCTAATTTTTGTTTTTTAAAAATAATAGATTCAGGTTTATCTGCAGTAAATCCCCTTAGTGTATTTCAGGTTGGTATTTTTGGGTGGCCATTGTCAATATTGCAATTTTCCTTTAATTCTGAAATTTAAAATAACTAAAAGAATTCCTTTTTCTTTATTTTGATCAACATACTTCTTGGCTCCAATTTTCTAGGATCATCATAGGCCTTTCCCAAAGATCCTGGTTCCTTATAATGGGAAATATTATTTAGAAACAAAATCTGGATGCTGTGTGTGCTTGTTCCTTGGCCTTTCATGTGTATGTGTATAGAAAATACACAATGAATACTCCAGTCTACATTTAAAAATCTTTTTCTTTAATATATTTTATCCCTGTGATTACCTGAAGAACCAATTCTAGTCCATATCTGTAACTATCTTCAAATAAATGGATTCAGCTAGGAATTGTAGGTGAGGTTCTATAGGAATAAGAAAATATGGATACATATGGAAAATATGTAAAACTGCAGGCTCTATACAAATGTCTCTACCATCAAATTGTAATGAATATGTATGAGAATAAAGTAGTTTATTAAATGGACATTTAGTAAATGTGCTTCCTAAACATAAGAAAACCTAGAATTTGTGGTTGGGATCACTTTTAAAATTGATTTTGGCAGTTAATTTCAGAACTAGTTGGGGCTTTTTGTTGGTTCAAGGCAAAATTCCTCCTAGGTATGAGGTATGTTATTCAGTGTGCATAAGAAGACTGGATAATATAAACCTTCTGCCCCATTTTGAAAAGTTTTTCACATTGTAAAAAATACATATATTCATAGAAAAGATTTGCCCTTGACCTGAAGTCAGCTAGATTTAGAAAATCTCCTCTCATTCCTTTTTTTAAAAAAATACATGTATTTTCATGTGCTAGTTTATTTTCTTTGGCCTTTGGCAGAATCCAGAAATGATCTAGGGTAAAGCTAAATGAAGTCTAACTAGGTTTCTCATGCTTCAGAACACCCAAGTCATTACTCTGCCTGTCCTCTCCATCCTTAACATTTACTTGGAGCTTGGGATGTTGGGGATATTTTCTAGGCTGGGCAGTGAAATAGGTGTCTACCTTGAGATCACATGTGATTTTAGACTTAAATTAGGCCAGTCATACAAGTTTTAAAACTAGACACTCTACCCATTGTCTTTGCTGTTCCAGTTGGCTTGGTGAGTGGATCTGGAGATCAACGACCCAGGCTGTCTAACCTGGATTTGTACTGTTTTAGCTTCCTTTCACTTTCTGTCCCTGGGCTTTTGTGCATATGTTCTATTGGTTAAACATAAAATTTTTTCATCGAATTAATACCTACTACTTTTGGTTCTTCAGTTCTGAATTGGCTCTACTAGTTCAGGAAGTACTCTAGGGATGCTTGGTAAGTAATGGACTTTGCAGCTTCTAGCACTAGGCTTGGAATGTGGTAGTTGTACAGTAAATTTTTATGTATGTAGATGAATTAGGATTTATCTGAACTCAGTGCAATATATCAGCTATAATCCCATATGGGAGTAGGTAGCAAGTTGAATGATTCTCTTAGGTCAGTCTTCTATAAATTAACCAAGGCACTCCAAGGTTCTTTGCAGTTGTCATATTTCCTACATGTTGAGAAAACTGATAAAAACAACAAAGCTGGATTGTGTATACAATTGACCCTTGAAACAGCACAGGGGGCTAGAAGCCCCTACCTCTCATGCAGTTGAAAATCTGCATACAACTTGACTTCCCCAAAACTAATGTTGACCAGAAGCCTTACTGATAACATTTTATATATTACTTGTATTATATCACTGTATTCTTAAAGTAAGCAATAGAAAATAGAAAATCATAAAGAAGAGAAAATATATTTACTATTAAGTGGATCATCATAAAGGTCTTCATCTTCATTTTCACATTGAGTAGGTTGAGGAGGGAGAGGAGGGATTGAGCTTGCTGTCTTGGGTGGCAGAGAAGAAAATCTGTTTAAGTAGACTCCTATAGTTTGTTTAAGCCCACGTTACTCAAGAGTTCTGTTCCTGTTCTGTATGTTTATGAGAAAAAAAAAAAAAAAAGAGTTCTGGAAAGTCAGTAGAGCTCTGAGTATGTGTAGGGCATATCAATAGTTGTAACTAGTACTGTGTAACAAAACCACCTCCAAACTTCATGGTTTAAAACATCAGCAAGATTTGTTTTGTTGCCTGGGTTTAAATGTTTTTGAAGGAAGGGAACTGGAATCATCTGAAGGTTCGTAATGCATAGGCAGTAATGCACAGGTGGTGGTTAAAGCTGTCTCAGACAGCTGGGATGTGGCCAGAACTCTGCCTGCACATGATCTCATGGCTTGGTGGCTGGGTTCCAAGAGCTAGCTGTCCAGAAGTTTTACTGTTTTTATGGCTTACTTACCCTGGGAAGTCTCTTCTGTACTCTACAAGCCCACCTAGGTTTAATGGTAGATGACTTCTTGCTGGAGAAGGGGTAAGATTTTGGTAAGGTGCAAGGAACTGGAATCTTGTAGTGGCCACAAATTGTCTTTTTCTGAAAAATATAATTTGTTACAATATATACAGTACAGATACAAAAGCAAAAGCTACAGTAGTTTTCCAAAATGACCAGAAATATCAAGAAAGGTTAAATTATATATTGTATGCCTATTTTAAGGAGGAAAATGTTTATTCTTCTCCATGATACTGGAATCTTATTTAAATTATATGAGATTCTCAGATGTATACATAATGAGCTCATTCTGAGAAAAAAAGGTCAAACTTGATTGCTAAAGTAACCTTAAATGTAAGTGTGAGGTGACCATTAAGGCTGGGTGCAATGGCTAATGCTAGTAATCCTAGCATTCTGGAGACCAAGGCTGGAGGGTTGCTTGAGCTCAGGAGTTCCAGACCAGCCTGAGCAAGAGTGAGACTCCATCTCTACTAAAAATAGAAAAATTAGCTAGGCATCTAGTAACACATGCCTGTAGTCCCCAGTTCCTAGGGAAGCTGATGGAGGAGGATCGCTTGAGCCCAGGAGTTTGAGGTTTCAGTGAGCTACGATGACCCCATTGCACTCAACCAGAGCTACAGACTGAGACTCTTTCTCAAAAAAAAAAAAAAAGGAAATTGAACTACCTTCCTCACTCCTCCCTCCATATTAAAAGAAAAAAAAAAATGACCATTGAGTATAGATTTGTTTTCAAAGATAGGCCATAACTACAGTGAGGGGTTCAGAGAAAAGCTTCCCTGCAATTCCATGAGTATTTTCAAACTAGCAAGACTTAGCTGTATAGCATTATAATTCTTAGTTACCAATTTTGAGAGCTAAATGCTTTCTAATTTAACAAGATAATACAAATACAAGTTGTATTGGAGCCAGCACTTGTATACTCCTACCTTGTCTGAGAGACACTTGGTGCACTGCCTTGTAGATATTCCTACCACAACTAGTGGTTAAATATGCACTTTATTTAGGTTAACACTTTCAGAATCTGAAATATTTTTGAGACCAGAGTTAATCCAGAGCAGATTCAATTTTTAACAACATTCAGATATTCTTTTCCTCTCCCTTCTCCAGAGTTTCTACATAGACACTGGTTGTATAACAATCCAAATACAAGATGGCTTAGTTTTCTCCTAGGCTTAGATACAGGCTCTGGGAGTTTCATGGTTCTCAAAGATAGGCTTTCATTTTTTTGCTTACTGATCGTGGCAAGTTGCTTTATGGTCCAAAGTGGGTCCTGGGGTCTGTCCATCATGTCCAGCTTCTAGGCACGGCCCATTTTGGGCCAGTGTATTTATTCTTGAGTGGTTTTAGTTTTGTGACCCCATATTTGTTCTTTTCAGCCTTTCTCTCTTCTTAAATTTCTCATGTTTTAATTACCTGATAAACCACCAGATCCTCCAGTTACTTGTTTAAGATTTTCAATAAAATATCCATTTAGCCTGTCTTCTGGTTTTGTTCAGTGTCCCCCTCTATTTTTGTGGAGTCAGTCTTGCTCTGTCTCCCTGGGTACAGTGCAGTGGTGCCATTGTAGCTTATTGCAGCCTCCAACTCCAGGCTCAAACATCCTCCTGCCTCAACCTCTGTTTTACTCAGGCTGGTCTTCAACTCCTGAGCTCAGGCATGATCTCCCGCCTCAGCACTCTCAGAGTGAAGGGATTACAGGTGTGTAATCTTCTGTGCCCAACCTGCCTGCTTGGTTTTGGATGATACTGATATGTTTCCAGTATTGGTCACTTCCCCTCACTTTAAGTGCTATATTGATTGTCTATAGGATCCACCGTGCTACTAGGTACAACAATAAGAACACTTATCCAAGATCTTAGTTATCTAATGAAGTAGGCATACATTAAAATCTGGTACTAATGATCAGAGGTTGAAATGATCAGGAAAGAATTAACTGTCAGAGGAGATGTAAGAGGGGGGATTTGAATTGGACTTTGAGAAACAAAAAATGATTTGGAAGAGCATAATTAGATATATAACTGGAGCTCACATAAGGTTGAATAAGGAGTCAAAATTGTAAAGGTGAGTAGGACCTATTCTATGGAGTGCTTTCTGTGCCAGGGTAAAGAATCATAGTGTTACATATGAGGGGAAGCAAATGGAAGTTTTCTGTCGTATTTTAGGAATAGACTTGATAGCCATGTATGTGATAGTATGGATCAGGTTGGTTGGGCCCCTTGAGAGCCTAGATGAAATGAGAATCTGAATTAGGCTGATGGCAGAATAGAAAGGATGGTGACAGCTGATTGACGTGCTTGATCCACAGTGTATTTAACAGCACCAAGTGCCCTTTTTCTGACTTGCTTTAGGCTGTGTTACACAAATCGATCACTAGGAGGCATAGTTCATCAACTAGTAAGGCAAAAAGGAAGGCAGCTAGACTAGGCTGCCGAGAAAGCTTGGGTAGTATAGTATTGTGTTGAAAAAAATTAACATTTAACTTTTCAACTCAAGGTATTTTGAAAATTGGAATCTTTATAAGGTTTTTCTTCTAAGTATTTCAAAGATGAAAAAAATAGCACAATCTAAATTGCACTGTGTGGAAATATTTGGTTATCCTTTATACACTGATGAGAGTGACATGACATTTTCATAGATTGGCTTTTAGCTATTTCTTGAAAGATACCACCTTTGCTCTGTCCAAATCTTTCTCATGAGTATGTATTGCAAATTAGTTTATATAATCAAGATTTTGTATTTTTGTGATCAAGTTGTAAATTCAACACTTTCTGAGTTTAAGCTAGTAATGATTAATGGACTTTTTAAAGCAAGTGTTTGGCTATTTAACTGCTAAGTAAGAGAATCCAGTTCATTTCCACTTCTGTTTCTCATTCCTTTAATTACTCTTCCTAGAAACAATAGGATGCTAATTTATATAAATACCTCTCACAATATTAAATTGCATGTTGCTCAGAAAAAGGTTTGTGAGATTTATTTCAGATGGCATCTATGGACTATAATTACTGTTAGAATTCACAGAAGCCCAGCATGTATAGTAGTTATCCATTTAAAATGTACCAAATATGTATTGGTATCACAGCTTTTGCAAGTGTTTTTATAGTCTTGTTACAATTTAAAACGTTTTAAAAGTAGAATGCATTTTGACAAATCTGTCAAATATTTGAAGAAATTGATTTTTTTTTTACGATAGATGTGGTTCCATTTAAAATTTCTACACATCTTGAGCACCTACTCTGTGCTAGGAATTGTATGTGATTAGAACACATCAGAAACAATGATCCTTTGCCCTCTTGAATAGCTTACACTCTAGTAAGAAGGGGAACAGAAATAAGCAACAGGCATAATAAATTATCCAGTAGACTGTTAGAAGATAATATATGCTATGGGAAAAATCTGAGGAATTAGGTGGTTGCAATTTTAGAGTGATCAGGATAGGCCTGCTGAGAGGTGACATTTGAGCAAAGATAGTGGGATGACCCTGGTGGCTGTGTTGAAAATAGATTATAGGACAGTAAGGTAGACTCAGGGAGACAAATTAGGAGGCCATTGCAGTAATCTAGGAAGAGATCATGGTTATTTGGATTATAGTGGTAATGATGGAAGTAGACAGAATCCAGATGTAGTTTGAAGACATCAATGGGATTTTCTGACTTAATGTGTAGATTGGGCATTGAGAGAAAAAAAGAATTACTGTAAGGCAGGCATGCTTCTATGTATTTGCAGTTTTGGAGCAAAAGTACAATGGAGGTACCATATGTTTAAATATTTAAAAGTTTTGTTAAATGAAAATGTGTCCAGTGCATCTATCTTGACAAATATACCTTCTGGAAAGCCAGGTTTGAATTTATGCCAGGACATAACTTGAGATCAGAGCTGATCCTCGGCCTATGTCCCACCTTTATGTCTTTTCACCCCTGGCTCTGAACTGTATGGCAAAGGGCCTTCTGCACATATACGTGGATACCACAAGTGTAAGGGGCCACTCCTCCTTACACATTAGTGCACACAGTGGTGATATAATGTATTCTCTGAAACAGTCTGGAAATCATTTAGGCAGGGTATTACGAATACTGAGTACCTGGAGTGTAGTGTAGAATGAGTATGCACTCCAAATGAACACAGCATTTTTACTCCTTAAAAGTATACAATCCCTCTAAAGCTCAGGGCTCTGGATAAGGGCCTCTTTTGGCCTGGTGTAAGGGCAGTACTGATCCAAAGTTTTTGGCCTAAGCATCTGTACAGATGGATTGCCATCAACTGAGACAGGGGCTGCAGGTAAGAACAGGGTGAAGAAATCAATTTGGCAGCTCATTTATATATTTGAGTTCTCTATTGTAGAGCTGTGTAAAAGGAAAATTTTCCTCTTACAGCACTGGCCTGGGACATATCAAAACTGAATGCTATTTTTCACCATAGCCATTCTAATCCAAAGTTATTAAAAAACTATGAACTCTAAGTGATCCTGGCACTCCAGGCCGTCATTGAACCAGTTTTATCCAGGAATTTGTAAAATTCACTATAAACCTATGGTCTTCTATCCTATTCAGGCTGCTTATTATTTTTTTTTTTTTAAATTTGCAAAATCTATATGAACCCTGCTTCCTATGACCTAAAAATCTCCTCAGACTTTTTCTCTCTAGTGAGCTATTCAGTGAATGGCCTTACTAGTAAGTATTTCCTTGCCTGGCATGTTTTTTATTTTTAACTGTAGTAGTTTATTCTTTGGCAATAAGCAGTTGGATATAAGTTGGGGGTATAAATTTGGGAGTCTTTGGCATATAGATGTTATTAAAAGTGGTGAAACTGGATGACATGAACAAGGGAGTGAGTATAGATAAAGAAGAGAACCAATGACTCAGAATTGGGGCACTCCAACATTAAAAGACTGGGGAGCAGAGGAGGAACCCAAAACAAAGTGATGTACTTGAAGCCAAGTGAAGAACTTTATCCAAAAGAAGGAAAATGAACTACTGTCCTATACTGCTGATAGACAACTTAATATTGCCAGTTATAAAATGCAATTTTAACTAGCCATTTCAAATTTGTTTGCCAGAGCAATGATTTTTGTCAGCTAGTTTTCTAAGCTTTAGTAACTTTTAAGTGATATTTGTAAGTTTTCATTATATCGTCTAAGTTTTTTTGAACAGTTAATTCCTGTAATGCATTTCTTGTGAATTTTTATTTCATTGTCTTAAAGGGCAAATATGGCCATTTTGGTGAGTAGGTGGTGACAAATTAAGAGCAAAGTTGTCCTCAATCTATGAGATTCTTATAATACTAAAATTTCCAATAATGTACTGTGGTCAGTAAGGGCACATTGTAGACTTCTGAGCTGCTCACAAAATTATTAAATTGTCTTGAAATACCCAACTGGAAATTCTGAGTTTTAAAGTCCCTAGCTTTAATTAAATGGGTGCTTTAGAAAATTCTGCTGGCTGTATGTTCAGGTATTTTCAAATAAGTTAGAATAGAACACTTTTGTTGCATCCTGATTAAAAGCAGAGGACTAGGAAACAACAGACATTTTTTTTCTCCTACAAAAATGACTTGTGCTTCTAGATTATATCTCATTTTTTACCTATCAAGTTTGTGTTTTTCCATATGAAATATCTTTCCCAACTACACCTGCCCTCAAAAACTCTGAATTTAATAGACTTGAAGGAATTATACCTTCCAGATGAGCTAAAGAATGCCATTCTGTTAAAAGGATGAACAGCTGGTCATGTAGAAATTCTCTGGAATGCTCACTTGTCCTACAAAGGCAGGGAAAGAAACAAACAGATGTTTGGTGTAGTGTTTGTCATTGGTATACAGAGTTGTAAATATTTTTTTCAAGCATAATTTTACTAAAAATCTATAAAATTTTAATAATTGCCTTTCTCTTGAAATGACTGCTAATACATTAGCAATGTGAAGGCTCTGAGATTTGGTCAAGTGCAGTTTAGTAGGAGTCAAGATTGCTGGAATTGTCCAATTTAATCAAATAGTGTTGCCTTAGATTAAGAATGTGGACCCTCCTGTGTTTAAATTATCTTTTGTTCTGATTGCTTTGGGATTAAGGTTGCATTTCTTAACATGACACAAAAAGGATTTGACTCTTGCTCTGTTCTCCAAGCTCATCTCTCACTTTCTCTTCCCTTCTTGAATTCTTTGCACTAACCATACAATTCTCCTTCCTTACACTTTGGTCACAGCAGCAGCCTTTCCTCTTACCTTGGCTAACTCTGACTTGCCCACCCCTCATTTATTTCTTGATTTGATTCTTCTCTGTATCCTCCTCAGGGTTGGGCTCCCCGTTTACTTAATGGGTGAATTTCCCTACCAGGAGGGTAGGTCTCAGTTTGTGCTCTTTATTCTGCCTTCCATAAAGCAGCTTGTATAGAGATTGTCTAAATGTAGTAGTAGGAGGGATCTGGGGGCGAGTAGAAATTACCTTCCCCAGGTCACAGATAAATGAGATTCCAAAACAGAAATCCGGCTAGGTATTTGCAAAGGAACCAGTGGAGGCTGACCAGCTGTTTGGAGCCTGTCTTGAAGTGTGGGATCTCTTAGTACTGGATATTCCCCCAGTTTGTAGTTGAGTTACTGTTTTAGAAGATGTTGCAGGCTGTACAGACGGGTCAAGAAGGAAGCCAGAGAGCTGTTGTGGGTGGAGAAAATAGGCTAGTACCTGCAGTTGGGGTCAAGAAAGGAAGGTGAGATGCCACCTGTAGTGGGTCCACCTTTCTTCACTCCTTCCAAACTGACAGTAGCGCTATTGCTTTAACAATCGCTTTCTTCACTCCAAGAAGAGCTATTTAAGACACGGATGTCCTCTCAACCTTTGTGCACTGAGATGTTTACCTAGGCGTCCAGGAGAGGCACAGTTCCGCGGCTCGTGAGCCTCTTTCCCAGCCTCCCTGCTCGCCCAGGCCAGGACACTGGCTCTGCGGGGTCTCGGAGCCCAGCGCGAATCTCTAGGGCTAGTTCCCGGGGGCAGAGAGACAGCTTTGCGTTCCAGGCACTGCCTGCCTGCCTGGTAGTTGTACCCGCCTTCGTAGCCCGTGCTCACTTTCCGAGACTGTTAGCTGAGAGCCGGGCAGACGGGGAGAGGCGGGACGGTGGGGATGGCCTCTCAGCGCCCTCTGGGCGTCGGCATTCGTCGCCGGGCAGCAGGGGCTTCCTTGGCGATCGCCCTGGGTGGAGGAGAGGAGTTTCTGGGGCTCGCGTTCCAGCCGCCTTGCCGGGGAAGGAGCACGGAAGCAAGTGGGCGGCGAGAGGCGGAGCAAGGGACGCGGGGGGCGTGGACGCAGCCGGCTTTGGAAAGGCCCCAAGTTAATGAGGCGTGCGCCGGCGGCCGAGAGCCTTTCGGAGCTGGGCTTTCCCCCGCGGTTCGGGCGCCAGGAGCCGCCTTTTCCGCTGGGTGTCACTCGGGGGTGGGGAAGATGGCCCATTCAAAAGCGCCGCGAGGGGGCCCGGCCAGTGCCCTTCAGTGAGCGCTCGCAAGAGGACGGCAGAGGCCCAGCGGCTCGCAGCTCCGGGACCTTGTGGCGGCGCATCAGGACGCGGCTGCCCCTCTGCCGGGACCCAGAGCCGCCGCCGCCGCTCTGCCTCCTGCGGGTTAGCCTCCTCTGCGCGCTCCGGGCAGGCGGCCGTGGGAACCGCTGGGGCGAGGACGGCGCGCGGCTGTTGCTGCTGCCCCCGGCCCGAGCGGCTGGAAGCGTTGAGGCCGAGGCGAGCGGCGGTCCCCTCTATGCTGGGAGGATGTTGGAGAGCAGCGGCTGCAAAGCGCTGAAGGAGGGTGTGCTGGAAAAGCGCAGCGACGGGTTGCTGCAGCTCTGGAAGAAAAAGTGCTGCATCCTCACCGAGGAGGGGCTGCTGCTCATCCCGCCCAAGCAGCTGCAACACCAGCAGCAGCAGCAGCCTGGGCAGGGACCGGTCGAGCCGTCCCAACCCGTCGGCCCCACCGTCGCCGGCCTTGAGCCACCGGTCAAGCTCAAGGAATTGCACTTTTCCAACATGAAGACCGTGGACTGCGTGGAGCGCAAGGGCAAGTACATGTACTTCACTGTGGTGATGGCTGAGGGCAAAGAGATCGACTTTCGGTGCCCACAGGACCAGGGCTGGAACGCCGAGATCACGCTGCAGATGGTGCAGTACAAGAATCGTCAGGCCATCCTGGCGGTCAAGTCCACGCGGCAGAAGCAGCAGCACCTGGTCCAGCAGCAGCCCCCGCAGCCGCAGCCGCAGCCGCAACCGCAGCCGCAGCTCCAGCCCCCGTCCCAGCCCCAGCCGCAACCTCAGCCCCAGCCTCAGCCCCAGCCCCAGCCCCAACCCAAGCCTCAGCCCCAGCAGCTCCACCCGTATCCGCATCCACATCCGCACACTCACCCGCACCCCCACCCGCATCCGCACGCTCTCCAACTACCGCACCCGCACCAACAACCGCACACTCAGCCGCACGGCCACCGGCTTCTCCGCAGCACCTCCAACTCCGCCTGAAGGGGGCAGCATGCGGGCCGGACGAGGTAAGGTCCCGGCAACTCCGGCTCCGGGGTCGCGAGAGTGTCGGGAACGGGAAGAGTAGGAAGCTTTTTCATGGGTTCGGCACTTAGGAGTGAGATATCATTCCAAGTTTCTGGGAAAGTGGAAAGAAGAGAAGCAAACCGGAGCCAGGAGAGCCCGGGCAGAGAGGGGAGGATGGGGAAACTCGGGCCAAGCAGAGGGGCCTCTGGATCGCCTCCGCGCGCACCCTGACCGCCCCTGTCCAGTGGTGCGCACCCCAGCGCCGCTTGCCTCCTATCTGGGCACTTGAGGGAGCGATCCTGGCTGCTTTCTGGGCGCGCTTTGTCCGCGGATTGTCCGGAAGAGAGCTAGCTGGTGGATTCTGAGCCACCTACTTCATTTGGTGTCATTTCTTTACAGGTTTTGAGGACTTGAGGAAGTGGGACGAGCATATTTCTATTTGTCTTTACTTGGATCAAAAGCAAAACAGTCTCCCCACCCCGCACCAGATCGTGTAGTTTGGACATCACCCTGCTGAAAACTTGTGATTCTTCTTAGTTTTCTGCATACTCTTCATCACGATGCAGGAAACGACTTCAAGTCAAGAAGACTTTATTTATGAACCTTTGAAAGGATCTTCTAGTATGGTGGACCTTCTAGGAGCGATGATGTACTGTAATTTTATTTTAATGTATTTTGATTTATGGTTATTTATTAGTTTTTTTTAAATGCTTGTTCTAAGACATTTCTGAATGTAGGCCATTTTCCAAAAAGGAAACTTTATTTTCAAAAACCTATTCCCTAGTAAGTCCTAATCTTGGAAAAGAAAAAAGAGAAAGGGTGGTGGAGGGGAAAACATTAAGAATCCATTCATTTTTCCTAGGGCATTTTCAGAAGGTCTGACACTTTTCATTGTTATACCAGATGGTTGAAATTAAACTCTGACATTACATTTTTTTTAAAGTTTTTTCCCCCTTAGACATATAGTTTGTATAGAGTAGAAGTTTAAAAAAGCTAAAAGTTCAGAATTGTGTAATTACGAAAATCTAATGCTCAAGATATTGCTTTTTTAAAAGGAAATCAGTAGTAATGATATCTGATTTCAAAATATTTGAAGCATAACCCAACTGATGATAGAATGATCATATCTTGAATATGTGGTAGGTCTGGGTCTACGTAGGAAAAACCTTGCTTATATATATCATCTGTGTGTGAAAAGTTTAATAAGAAGAGACCTTTTGATTGATTTATCAATATGAATGCATTAGATGTTTTATTTCAAAAATGTCATGGGGAAAAAAGAGAATCATTCGACTTGTTTGATAAAGTATTTGTGCCCCTGTCCAGACTAGAGTACCCTTCTAAAGTACCCTTCTAGAGCTTTGCCCACTTGACTTGAACCACAGTTTCTGATCCTTTTATTTTGTTCTAGAAGCACACTGAAGAATCTCATTGTTGAAAGTACAGTTTGTAAATATCTCATAGTTAGGAGTCATAACTTTTTGTTTTCATACTGCAATGATGTTGATCAGAGAAACAAACTGTTTTACTTTTTATTGCTCTGTGAGATATGAGGGCTATATATTTTGTTGTTAGGTTAGCTAAACTCAGAAGTCGAAAAGGAAAGGACTGGATAAACACTGGATTTTCAGTAAGAAAACAAACCCAGTCTTGTTTTGGCAGCCACTTGTTCAGGAGTCTGTGAGGGAAAAAAAGAGGATGCTCTTTTAAAGGTAGAACAAACCCTCTTCTGTGTTAAATCAAAAGGATGGTCAAAATCCACAGGGCAGATGCTACTTAAGTTTAAAAAGAGCCATAGATGATACCACATCCTCTTGGGGCTGAAAATCACTTCCTATCTGTGTGGCTTTACTAACTGGTCTCTGTTTTCCATTATCTTTTTTCACAAAGTCTTGGTCAGTATTTTTCCAGCATTTAAATCAGAATGGTCAGTATTAGACCACTGCTAAGTTATATAGTCAAGAAATGAAAATAGAATTGCATGCTAGAGCTGTCTTTACTCTCCCATTTAGAGAGAAGTTTCAAGGTCAAATTACTTTTTAGTGCAATATTTAAATGATGAGATTTTGAGATCATAACTTTTTTTTATCCAAAAAGCTGCAGGGAAAGTTAAAACTTGAGCAAATGGCAAACAAAAACTTAAGTGGACTCCTACTTCCAGTGGCTGTTTAGGTTGCAGTTGTAAAAATATGCTGCCAAGGTTTAAAAACTCTTTACACACACACACACATATGACAGGTCAGATCAGAGAGCCAGATCTAAAGATTTCTTAAATCAAGTTTGGTTCAGCTTCCTTAGAACTACTGCTGTACATTTTAGGGAATGTCCCATAGTATTATAGTTTTAATATATGTAGATCCTAATAATCCCAATTAAACTACAACTTTTTCCAAATGGAGGATTTTTCTTTTAAATTCTTATGATATATATAAAAAAATCCATACTAAATACTTCAAAAGTTAAGATTTGTGTAGGTTGTCAAAAGGCATTTGTATGGTGTTAGCTTACATAGAGGGCTAGTAATTTCATTGCTACCAAGGCCCAGGCTCCCTCTTGGTTGCTGGATTTTTTTTCCCCCTTCAGTAGCTGTGGTTCTTAATGGGGCCACTATAATCATATTTTCTTGTCTTTCTGTAGCCCTTGTTCCTTGGTCTGCTGTGATAGTTACGTTGATTTGACCCTCTTTATGGTTTTCTAGTCTGAACCCTTCTTAGCATTTAACTGTGAAATCTCAGAAATTGGAAAGGAGAGAAGTAGGGTTTTTAAAATTGTTTTGACACTTTGAAATTATTATGGTTTAATATTTCCAGAGCAAAAAACAAGCATGCTCAACAAGACTAAACAAGACAAAATACAAATGCACATCATTTAGTGTCTCAGTGGCTCTAATCTACCTGTAAAAAAGTGATACACACCACCTAAAGTATTTTGAGGCCTGACAAATCAGCTTCAGGGAAAAAGGTAAAAATACTAATTTTAACCCAAGAAAAAGAAGAAGGAAAGGGCAAAGCCAATAGAAAACTCACCCCTTGATTAAATATAAAATGTAAAAAGTTGAAAAATTAAGAGGAATGTTCCACCTGAAAATTGAACTTTTGTCCTTGAACATGTGTTGGTACCAAGCCTTATACACAGCCAGCTCAGTGACTATTTGTTGGGACAAGTGAATGAAAGAAGGACAAAGCGTGTAACTCCCCAGCATCTAGAAAGTGGTTGCTGTTGCCTCACCAAGTGTTTTCTTCACTTGTTCTCATGTCATTCCTGAGAACAACTAATTATGGGATAGGCCAAGTAAGCATCATGACAAAGGTCTTTAAACTTTCTTAGTGGAAATTCATTTAAATCTGTGTATACTCTACAGGGGGTGCTGAGATTAGAGAGTAAATGTCTATAAGGAGCCTTTTGTAAATGAACATTTTCCTCATTGAGCAGGCTAGCTTCTCTAATCCTGTAGAAATTAAGCTAACTTTATAATTTCACTTCATGTATTTTTTTCCAATGGTTGTTTAAAAAAACCAAAACCCTACACATTGCCGAAAGGTGTTTCCCGAACATGTAAAAACTGTCAGGTCTGGCTTAAGTTGAAAGGCCTGTTTTAACTCTTTTTTTTTTTTCTTTTTGATTCACTCTCTATTTCTCTTAAAGAGCCCTATTTTAAATCTGACACTAAATAAGTTTGCTGCAAGTGTATGAGTTCGAGCACATCATCTGTTTTCTGTCTCTAGGAAAAGTCGTGTGGTTTAGCTTGGCTCTGAGTGCTAACGATATTATATTCAGTAGTAGGCTTAGAAGAGGGGTCTAAGACTTGACCCAGAGCAATGCTTTAGAAGAGAGCTTTGTGGGATGAGGATAGGCCTGTGAACATTCATTTTTTTCTTTTTTTGTGTCAAACTAATTGGTTTTTGCTTTAATAAAATATCCTCAGCAGAATATATTTTAAATTTGGAAATTATAGTTTGTGGTATTGAATCCATCAGTGATTCAAGAGGAATATACCTATTTATCTAAAGCAACCTAAGGTGTATTAATTGTGGAAGTGTGTTAGATAGGCTTTTAAGAACTATTATTTCCTAAATTCTTGACACAGTTTTGAAGGGTAGCTTTTTGACCTTCGACGTTGAAGAGCCAATCTAGATTTACATAAGATTGGGTGACGGAGTGATCTGTGACTGTTGGCAGGGCATTTGCCAAGTGGAATACAGGATCCAACAGAGTTTTCTTAGAAAGGGCATTATTGTCCAAAGAAGGAAGCAGAAGGACTCTGTCCTTAGAAGCATCTGCATAAAAGCTGGTGAGACTTACTCCCCACTGCTGTGCCCCTGACCTGCTGGTGATAGAGTGGGGAGTGAGGAAGCAGATTTAACAATAGGTAGTCCTTCCAGACCATTGTATTTTGAGAAGAAACATAAAACTATTGTCTGTTACATTCCAAGATCTGCCTTCTGCTTAAAGCATATGCAAACACCATCTTCTGTAAAGCAAGCATCACCATGTACCAACTGCTTTACAAATCATCACCTTGGTGAACTTAGTAGTGTGGTCAAAATTTGTGTAAATATGTCTCTTAAATGATTTTGGAGAAATGTGATTTATTTTTCATATTTTCAAAATGCATTCCATTTCAAATAAAGTATCTATCGAGACAACCAACCTATGGAACTTTTGAAGGCCTTGTTCAATGGACATGCATACTGTGTGTTCCTGTGGAACAAAGATTCTAAAGGGTTTGGCCATTCTGGAAAGAAAAAGACCATTTTTGTGGTTGGAGATTCATTTTTAAAAAATTACCTGGGAATTTTGAATATAGAAATTCACTCAGATCTATTGGTGAAAGAATTAGCTTCCAGAATGCTAATGTATTTGAGTTGAATTTTCCATAGTTCCCCAGATGACCAGAAATGGTCCCCAGAGAATTAGCTCAAAGGCAATTCCCTCTTGAGTCCTAGAGAGAGGTTAGTTCTCTTAGGCCTCTTGGGAGGAAACAACTTTGACCCTGTGAGACTCATCCTTCAAACAGGTATTTATAAAGCTTCCTGTTTTGTGTTAAAAGCAGAAGAGGGACTTGATTCTTTAAAGAAAAATAGCATAATTTTATTTTTACAATCTCCGTTGGCATTAAAAGCCTTTAAATATCAAAAGAGTTCAAAACAAGAAATTTGAAGACAATTCTTTTTATCCCTTAGCATAGTCTTGCATTGACAGCTTTATTAGTCTACTTTTTTTTTTTTTTTAAGAAATGAAATCTGAGAAGACAGATTACTGCCACTGTGAGAAGACTTCAGGGATACTATGTGAAATAAATGTGTATAGTAGGTGGTAACAGTGTTAGTCAGAGCCAGAACTTGAGTCATTGTACATGGGTTCAAGTTCCTAGTTATACCACTTATTAGCTGTACAGATCTTGAATTACTTAAACTCTTGGAAACCAATTTCCTCTCTGTAAAATGGAGTTAATAAAGGTACTTAGAGTTATTGAGGAGATTTAATAAATTAGTATACATAAAAGTGCTTAGAACAGAACAATGCCTGTTATTGCTATGAAAGGAAGCTCCCTACATTTTAGGACAGATAGATAGGCTTGGGAATCATTATAGTCATATGAATATATAACATATATTTCAAAGCTATAAATTGCGTTTTCAGAGGTCTCAGTGTTCCTTTTTAAATGCTAAGAACAATATGTTGACCACTTCCTTGTATTCAACTTTGAAAAAATAGAAAAATACATTATAGTACTACCATTTTAATGGCCATTTTCATTTGCTTATTACTTTCCAGTCTTGGGCCACATGTTAATGTATTTTAAGTTATTTACAAATTACACAGTGAAAATACTCACATATGTAGCTGTGGTGCTCACTCTACCCATATTGGCGCCTCAGGACAATCCCCAGGTGTGGGAATGTTGGTGGCTCTCATGCTTTCAGCTAGTCCTTTCCCTGGGGAATCTTCTTGCCCAAAACACATCCCTAGCTTGGAGGGAGCCCACATCCATCCAATGATGGGTCTATGGGGAGTGCATGAAGGCCAGGCCCTGTTGTCTCGAGTCAGGACAACTGTAAAGGGCCATCCCCGCTCTGGAGCTCCCTATGGAATTGGCTGAGGCTTCTGTCAACAATGAGCTGGCTTTGTAGTTTGACTCTCTCTCTGCCTAGTCCTATTTCCCTTGCTTCCTCATAGGTGAGGTTTCCAAAAACAGTGCTGGGGGAGAGGGGACACTCTCCACCAACCTCCTGCAGTCAACTCTCAAAGTGTCAGAACCTCTATCTCAGGGAATCTTGTCTATGACCATTTTATATATATAAATTTCACCACCAAGTTTCTGTAAGAAGGTTCATGGTGTTGGGAGGGGAGTATATAGATAGCATAATGGTTAAGCCTAATTTTTAGGATAGTGGCTTTCAATCTTGAGCAATTTTGTCACCCGGGAGACATTTAGCAATATTTGTAGACATTTTTGGTTTTTGCAACTGGTGAGTAGAGGCCAGGGATGCTGCTAAATATCCTACAATGCACAGGAGAGCCCCCCACAACAAAGAATTATCCAGCCCAAAATGCCAACCATGCCAAGGTTGAGAAAGCCTGCTTTAGAGTCAGTCTTGCTCTTATTAACAGAGTTGCTTTGGGCAAGTGGTTTAACTTATTTTAGCCTCAGTTTTCATGTGTAAAGTGCAGACAATGATAGTACCTGGCTCATGGAGCTGTGAAACCAAAATCAGATAGTTCACATAAAGGACTGTTGCTGTTCCTATCACAAAGTAAGCATTCAATAAATGTAGCTATCATCCTTATTATTATTATTCAAGGTCATATGTTAATGACAGCATAATATTACCATTGAGTTGTTATGTTATTTCATTCATTTGCCTATTGCTGTCTAGTGATTTTCTGTTTTTATGCTGTTGTCAATACTGCTGCAATTAACATCCTCATGTATACATCATGTTGATAAAAGCGTGGACTAGTTTTCTAGTTCTGACTCTCCTTCATTTTGTGACATCAGGTAGCTCAGTTAATCTCTCTGAGTGTTAATCTGCTTATTTGTAGGTGGGAATAATAGCTATTATGATATTCTGTGAAGTGGCAGTGAAATCTACATAAATTCAAGTCCCAGAGCCACCACTTAACCATTTTATTTCCAGTAAAGCATTGTCTAAATGAAAACATTATCTGAATACCATTTTAAGAGGAATTAGATATTACATATTCATATACATCTGTGTATTCTAATCCAATAATTTGGTTTTAAGAAATAGAATGTTATTGCAACTGAAAAAAATAGCATCAAGTAATTCCTAGGTTTTTTTTTTGTGAAATTTGAGCCAAATTTATATTTTTGTTAAAGTGAAAGGAATCATATCACCACAACATTGCAATTATATAGGAATTAATTATCGATAGGGAAAAACCCGAATAATGAACCCATGTGAATCTATTCAGCAAAATACTCTTACTTGCTTTTTTTCTCAAAGACCTAGTGGGAACCTCTCACCAACTAACTACATAGAAAGGCCATAATCAAATAAATGTCATGGTGTGACATGTACAAGTACTCTAGCCTTACTTGCCTACAGAGTGGGTCTTGTTATCAAAGACGGTGCCAGTGGGGGCCAGAAGACTTTGGAAATTTAGATTGTTTGGGATGGACTGTTGCCATAGGTAAGTCTCATTGGTTTGAAAGTTGTTCAGAATCTGATTTTATCATGAAGAGATTGTCAGAGCCTGAGGACAGAGGTCCACTTTGTTATCCCTTGATATATCATCAGAATTGACTGCTTCTGAGATAGAATAGATGTGAGAATAGCTTGCTTCCTGCCAGGGCATTCACCTGACGCATTTAATGTTTAGTTAAACTCCAGAAAGGAAAAGTTGGAAAAATCGTCAATGTGGTCATGTTGTATACTCTCAAGCCCTGCCAAAGTCATTTATAATAGAGTGAGCAAATACTGTACTACCGTCCTCAAAGACCAGACATCCTGTGCTTCCAAAGCAACTGATAAATAAGTTTTCAACTATAGGACAGAAAGAAACAGGAAATGACTCTTGGGAGTTTCAAAGTTTTAATTATTCACCATCCTTCACTGGCTTTCTCCTGAAGCTGCTAGCTCATACAGTTCAGTACCTACTAAAGCCAACACTTCAGTAATTTTGCAAGTATTTTGAACTTTGCTGTAGTAGACTCTAGCCAGTAGTGTGGCTTACCCTGCAGTCCCCAACTCCGTTCCACAGCCTATTAGAGACCAGGACGCAGAGCTCCCCTCCCCGTCCCCATCCCATCAGTGGAAAAATTGTCTTCCAAGAAACTTGGTGTGTGATGTGTGGGGTTGTGCACAGCAGGAGGTGGGCAGCGAGAGAGTGAGTGAGTGTTGGAGGGCGAGTGAAGCTTCTTCTGTATTTACAGCCGCTCCCCATCACTGGCATCACCGCCTGAGCACACCCCCCCACCACCTGTCCCTGGAAAAACTGCCTTTCATGAAACTGGTGCCTGGAGCTTAAAAAGGTTGGGGACTTCTGGTACCCTGTCATGGCTGACTCATCACCTTGAAACTGTGGACCAGCTTTGTGACTAATCACAGCCAAGGAAGCCAAACTTGTAACAGTTTTACGCACATTGTCTTTTTTTGGTTTCTGGATGCTCAAGAAATACTAATTTCTACAAAGCTTGGCTGCAGTTGGCAAACTGCCTTTCATGATCTTTCCAAGTAACCCCAAATACATATAATTTTGTGTGTGGGTATGTGTATGTATGTGTGTATGTGTATACATATGTGCATATATATACATACACAAACACACACACACACATATTTTTTTTTTTACTCTTGCTAGTAGCTTTCATGGCCCATGAAAACAGCTGGTCAGTTTTTTGGTGTGGAACCTGACCTCTAAGCATTTGAAACAGCACTGGGCAGAATTAGCTTCCTCGGAGCTTTGCTCACCCTACTTTGTGGGTTGGGTTCGTCCTACCCTGCCTGAACACCTGTTACAAAGCAGTGGTCTGTGGTGATGCCAGGTCCCTGTGTAATTTCCTGTAACCACGTTTCAACATCACTGCTGGAGGGAATGGCTCTAGTTCAGTGGGAGAACAATTCAGTGACTTACTGTTAGTTTCTGACAGAAAAGGAGACTCTAAGGTGGGTATTAGTACATGGGTTGAGTTTGCAGGTGTGAGACAGAATTTGATCTTTGCCAAAGTGCACTGGCTCACGAGGGAATAATTATCATTATTGCCAGAGGTTCAGATGAAATCCCTGATGCCTGTAAATAAATACTACCAGGTAGCTACTGAAAGACCTGAGCTTCGTGGCTTTCTCAGCAGCTAGTGGACCCTCATTTGTATTTGCTATCTATAAAATAATACTTCTCCCACCTGCATAAATAGTTTGAAATCAAAGTTGATAATGGTATTTTAGGAATTTAGACAAAGTATCATTCATCCTGCCCCATTTTACAGAGGAAGAAAATGAAGCTAGGAGATGTCATTTACCTACCCAAGGTCACACAGGCATTTAAAGTCAAAGACATGATTATTAGGGCCCCAAATCCATCTCCCTTGATTCTTTTTTTTTTTTTTTTTTTAAATCTCCCCACACCCTGATTTTAAATTACAGAGCTTTTTGTTTTTGTTTTGAGACAGAATCTCCCTCTGTTGCCCTGGCTAGAGTGCAGTGGGGTCATCATAGCTCCCAGCAACCTCAAACTACTTCTGGACTCAAGCAATACTCCTGCCTCAGTCTCCTGAGTAGCTGGGGCTATAGGCAGAGCACCACCACAACCACCATGCCTGCCTAATTTTTCTATTTTTTGTAGAGATGGGGTCTTGCTCTTGTTCAGGCTGGTCTTAAATGCCTAGCCTCAAGCAATTCTCCTGACTTGGCCTCCCAAAGTGCTAGGATTATAGGTATGAACCACCATGCCAACCTCCTTGATTCTTAATTAATACTCTTTCCACAGTACCACTATTTTTAAGTCTTGGAGGACAATTTACATAAATTTGAGGTGTTGTTATTCTTGCAAATAATCACTTGAAGCACTCAGACATCATTCATAATTTTTTCAGCATTCAGATAAAAAGATTCATCACATCTTTCCCCACCAAAAGTATAAATTATTATTTTAATTACATAAAGTCTTCTTACAGAGATTGAAAATAAATTGTTTAAAAATTCTATGGTTTTTAAAATGAATTGTGATTTAGCATTTTCAAATATAATCTACATGAATTAACAAAAACCTCAAGCAAGAGGCAAATTCATAAAAGAAACTGGAAATATATTTTGAAATGATCTTACTTTAAAATGTGACTGTTAGAATGTATTTCTTTTAAAACTATTTATTGAAAATAATTTTTTTTTAGAAACTGGGTTAAAAAGCTATTTGGAATTTATTTTATCTTATGACTCCTAAAATATTCATGGAATGTTTCCAGTGTTGCTAGTCACCCCAAGGTCTTGAAATTATCTGTGGAGCTGAAAAATGTTGAAGTGATTTGAATGTTTATACAGTTACTTGAGAAGGTTGCTGACTGGCTTTCATAGCCTGTGTAGGTGTCAGGAGAAATATTCCCTGAAAAAGGTTTGTTGAAGGTAGTGGATCTATGGGCATATGTGATTTCCTAATAGGTGGGGTGATAAAACTTGTTGGTGCCCTTCTAAGAACTAGCTGAACGCAATTCACATAGCCCCAGATTAAATCCTAAATTACAGGTTTTTGACCTACCTAAGACATTAAAAATCCTCAA